AATGGTTGCAACAGCACACCATAGACTTGGGGACCAATTGAGACTGGTTTACAAAATAAGAACATTAAGCATAGGCATCGGGGTTTTGCAGGAGGTATGTTTCACCAGCCTTGTACATTCCCAGGGCCCTTTCCTTGCCAGCCTTAATGACCTCTTCTGAGAGCTCACCATCACCCTTGGTCTAATATTTGCTTGTCATCTTAGAGATAGTTCGACCATTATGAGACGGCTCAAGCTTAACCTCATAAACAATATATTCAATCTGCTTCTCCATGAAGGGATCAGCTTCAATTAGAGTATAGTTGTAAGTGAACGTCTCTTCGTTGAGCTCATCAATTCGGAACTTCAAATAATTCAAAGCGCTCCCTGCATGAAACACACCCATGAAATACACGTTCTATTATGTATAACATTAGTAAGATTTCAGCTTGATCATTATATATGATTTTCTAACATTAGTAAGATTTTCAGCTTGATCATTATATATTATTCCATTGAAATGAGGACGTTTTTCTGGGGTACGTGCCTGTGCCTGTGCCTGTACTTATGGTTTTGTTTTTGGTGTTTTCAGAAGCAAAAGGTGAGTTTGGTAAAGCAGTTGAATCTGCGCCCTCGACAAGTGGAAGTGTGGTTTCAGAACAGAAGGGCAAGGTGAGATATAATTTCCATACATGCATTGATGCACATATATGTGTTTATATATGTCAGCTCTCATTCTGGATTTTATGAATTATGCAACATTACACAGTTACAACATATTTATAAAATTGTTACATTAGACATATCGCATATGACAGAAGATGTTGTTTCCTTAACTTCCTTATACCATTATTGTGCTATCCCTTTAGATTGGGTAATATAGCGCGCAAATGCAAAAGAAGACCCCATTAAAAGATAGGAAAAACTACTAAATCATGAATTGGAATGGGAAATTACTCTTTACCATGCACTTTGTGACTAGGGGGAGGAAAAAAAAAAAGTGGGTCGTGAAACTATATACTCCTTATATACATATATGGTGTTTAATTATAAAAATAAAAAATATTGCATACCTTGAAAGTCACATGCACATTGAATTGATGATGCAGGACCAAGTTGAAGCAAACAGAGGTAGACTGCGAGTACTTAAAGAAGTGTAGTGAGAATCTGATGGAAGAGAACAAGAGGTTACTGAAGGAAGTGAATGAACTTAGAGCACTCAAACTTTCCCCAATTGAGATCACACAAGGAAATGGAGGGACTGGCAGCATCAAACAAATCAACTTTGTTGAAGGTTCTCTCTCTGCAGGGTTCCATTTTCCAATCCATCTCAGTAACCCTAACATATTATTTTTGACGGCTATATCTAGAAAAGCGTTCAAAGGGAAAAGAGAGGCGATAGGAGTCAAAGCTTGAACTGGTGATTTGGTATTTACTACCATGTTGGTATTGAAATGAAGCAAAACTTCCGGAATAGCACGTAAAGGTAAAAACAATGTGTGCAGATACTGTACTTATATTAAGACCTAGTTTGCACTCGAATTAGAAGTGTTTTTGTCTGAGAATTTTTGCTCCTTATCATTCTTTTCTGTTTTTAGGGCAACAAAAATTTCCATCTTTATTAGTAGTGGTGACCCGTATCCTAACATGTTGTTTCATTTACACTAATCAATGTAAAACATTTTACTCTTTTTTCTGGTGCTTTACCACAATTATTCATGTTCACACACCATTTTTGTACCTTTATTCTCTACTCTTATCTTCTTATACTCACTACTCCTTTATTGTGTACAATTTCCAATCTTTATTGTGTACACCAAATGCTTGTTATTCTCTATCTTGTTTTACTTCTTTATTGTATAAAATTTCCAAACACATGCTACACCAAATGCTTGCAAGAGAGAGTGTGGTCATTGACATAACATGCTAGAATAGATGACATTTACTAGGATACCTTGTCAATTGGACTGATGGGGGGGGGGGGGGGGGCGGGGGGGAGGAAATGTGTGTGTGTGTGTGTGTGTGTGTGTTTGTGTATATATAATATATATTAACACTTTTTAAGAGGTAATACCAGATTTAGTACCTTCTGTGTGTGGGGCTCATTGCATCGCAAGTTTCACCAGGATGTGAGTTTAAATTTGGTGACTGTATCACTTTCTATTTGAGCATGTGTTTGAAATTTGAGAACTATCAATTTTTGCTTATAATATATGTTTGTCTCGATACGAAGGTACGTGAAGTCAAAAACTAACTCCGAGTACGAAAAGTGAGGTTATGCCAAAAACTGACAAATGGGAAAAAGACAGAATAGAGAAAAAGACGAAACAAGAAAAAGGACAAAAATGAATAGTGTCCGAAAAGTGAAAATGTGAAAATGACTTGGTCCTCAAAGGAAGTTGTCAATCCATGGAAAAGTGTCTCAGAAACCATTCATAAGCACTCGAGATGACATTAAGCGACGAGAAACTGAACTCAGAAAAAGAAATTAAACGAAAAAAATTCATTCATAAAATTTCAAGATAAAAAAGAAAGGAAGAAAAATTTCCGGGTCAGGAAATGAGTAGAAAAAAACACAAATATATAGAGTAGAGGCAACAATGTATTCTGAATCTGAATATATATTTAATAAGAGCCATATTAGGAAATGAGTAGAAAAAAACACAAATATATAGAGTAGAGGCAACAATGTATTCTGAATCTGAATATATATTTAATAAGAGCCATATTCTTCATCTCATTTCTTTTGTTTTCCCCGTAGCAAGGCTGCACACGTGAAACATAATCACGAGACTTAGTATTGAACATGTCCAACCTTTTTATCTTTTTGTAAACAATCAAAAACTTTACTTTACCCTCTCATTAATTTTATAATTACAATATAACATCAGGAAGACCTTTTGACATCATAAAATCACTTATTTATTTTATATGTAGAAAAAATAATATTTTTAATTTATATTAATTTTCAAATTTATATATTTTTTGTTTTTAAATTCTCATATGCTGGAGAATGAATATGGTAGTTGTAATCTTTACTGCTCTATTCATATGTGTGTATGTTTATATATATTATTTGTAATGAATTTATGCTGGATAGTTAAACAACTCGATTTTTAATTGTCAATTCTTCTTCTCCCTATTTTATGAATGTGTTCTTAAAAATATACATTAGAAATTGCATTAAAAAAACTGTTACAACTATTTTATTTTATTATTAAATTTTAATTTTAAATAAATATTTATGGCCGGGTTCATATTTTATTTATTTTTCTCGGTAAATAATGTGTTAGTATTTATTTATTTATGAGATGCGAAAAGCGAGAAATATATCTGGACCTGTAGATGACCACCCAAATGTCATGCATTTTGAATACAGCGTGAAAGACCCGAAAGGCAAGTGAAAGTCCGTCCTTCATCCCATCTTCCTTTCAAATCCCCCATTGTAGACCAGACCTAGTGTTCAATAATAAATAATACTAGTCAATTCATCTCTCTCTCTCTCTCTCTCTCTCTCTCTCACACACACACACACACAATGAGTCCTGAACTCTTGTTTCCCATAGAACAAAAAAATCAAACGGTCATTTTTCAAACCCACATTTGACATTTCCTTTTAACACAAAACCACTCTCACCGTATTTTTAGTTTCTATATTTAATTTTATCATTACCACTTAGTACAGTAAGATATAATTATCAACTCTCTCTCCATTTCTTTGTGCGTTGAATTTGAATCCATAGACAAAAGTGTGGACAAATGATTACTCTCCATAGATAAGGTTGTGAAAAGAGCTTCACTCATTTTTTTGGGGTTACCTTGTTGTTTCTGAGGTGGATTCTACAGTCCACGTCATCATCATCCAATAATCAAACTCACAAATTCACAGATTCAATAATAAATTTCACCAAATGCCCAACTTCAAATTGAAATAGAAAGATTTTTTGTTCAAACTTTAAATGAAATTTTCTTCAATTTCAAGTCCAATAAATCAATTCGATATTCCAAAATGCAATATTACAGTATATTTGTTGGTAAATTTACTTATACTAAAGAAATATAATAATTTACTTATATTGAGAACAATAAGATTTTTTTAAGAAAAGGCTATAATATCATACTATTGTCGCAAAATTGAAAGATACTAGTATTGTTTTTCTTTCAAAGAAACATCTAAATAAAAACAATTTTTTAACTAAAAAATATTGGTATTATTTTTTTTTCAAAGGTTTCTATTTTTATTTTGATAATTACCTTTTATTGTTATTTTGATATTTTCATGTCAATATCTACTTCGTTAAAAGAGAGTATAAATGTGCCTTTTTATTTTTCTGGGGAGGGCGTGTTACAGATGGTAGAGTCAAAAGTATACATATCATAACATCATTAAGGATTATAAAAGAAGATATAGAGCTATCAGTTTGCCTTGCAATTTTATTGACTCCAGTTGCCACAATCCGAGAAAACAATTCCAGCATCTTATGTTCTAAGACAGATGGTCCAAGCGGGAATACAGTACCAAGATAAAAAGCCAAACTACTTAGATAACATCAACTTCCAAGTAAGATTAATCAACACCATTGTTATAGATAACACAGTACTTCTTCTTCTTCTCTAATTTTCTGAACTCCGAAACAGTATTGATATGTTGGATGGTCTGACGTGTGAAGGAGTTCATTTATAGATTTGCCTCTGTGTTATTGTCATTGTGAGCTCTTGTTGTTTTAACTCGATGTTATATGTTAGACTTTGATTCTTTTGCCTATTTGGTAAACCTGTATTGTTACCTAACTTTTATCGGCGAGGCCATTGTTGTTGTTTCCAGATGTTATGGGATTGAGATGAGTTGGAACTCAGTTAAGTTCTATATACGTGGAGGTTTGATGTAGTGTTATATATGTAAAGAGTAAGACACTAATTTAATTCATCGTTATATGTGTTTGTATTTCTTTTTCCCTTCTCATTTTTTTTTATTTTTATTTTTATTTTTATTTTTTTAATGGAGAAATTGTGACGATTCATTGTTGAATTGCAGTCTTGTTTGAAGTAAAGCTTCAATTTTTGTAAATGGGCAACTGGGCGCGTCTGTTTGACATAGATAAATCCTTCACTTAAAAAGAAAATAACATTCTAATATCTGCTCCCAAAATTCAAAATGAAGAATTCCTCATCATATGCATGAGCTTCAATCAAATATCTCCTGGGATTCGATTATACTATGCTGACTGAAAGGGAGGAGATAAAAAATAAAAAAAATAAAAAAAAAGGGGGTTATATCAATAGCAGAAATCGAATAGAAAAGGGGACTGAATATTAAGAAAGCAAAAATCACATAATTAGGCTTACTGGTCATCCTTTGCGACCCGATAATATCGTTCTGCATGCTGGCGTTGACCAATAAGTTGAGCGAACCGCTCATCATGAGTAATTACTATCAGTTGAAAATTCTCCTGCCCTTTTCTGTCCTCCATTATTCTGGTGAAGGCGAGGAAAGAAGAAGAGGGCTTAATTTACCTTGTAAAGGACTCTCAAGTGAAATATATGAACAGTCCTTACCTCAGGAGAGCTGCAGCAAGACTCTCGGCATTTGGGCCATCTAAGTTGGTGGTTGGTTCATCTAGTGCTAGTATTCCACAGTTGAGGCAAAATGTTTCAGCCAACGCCAACCGTATGATAAGGGAAGCAAGGACCTGAAACCAGACCAACGGATGTTTAAAAATGGAAAGGAAAAAGGAAAAAAAAAAAAAAAAAAAAACAAAACAAAACCTGATATCGGACATCAAATTGATCAGATTAAAGGGCACTAGATAAAATCAATGTTTTCAGATTATAGCAACTCAAACGCACAAGACCAGCACACTACACCTTTTGACCTGCACTACATCTTCCTCGCATTTCTAGTTCTGCATCACCAGTTTGCATTAGAACCTGTAAAGTCTCAGAAAAAAAAACATATACTTTAGGGGGAGAGAAAAAAGATTGCAAGGTCAAACTAAACAAATCTTTCTAATTACCCTGTAGCTGTAAGATCGAGTCCCAGCACCTTCAGAATCTGAATGGATGCTTATGTAATCTATATCCTGTCCCCTGTACGTTTGCTGCCACAATTCCCTTATGATCTTATTTATTTCTTCCATTTTCATTGTGTGGAAGCGCATGAGTGCTCTACAATAAAACAGATCAAAGAGAAGAATATCAAGATAAGCGGCTGGATCAATCAACAGAGCACCTAAAATGAAGTGTTTATGTTAATTAAGCATATAATACAGAAGGAATTTACAAAACACAGTAGGAGGGAAGTGGCTCTAAACCTATTTTGACATAATAAGCTGAGAGGAAGCAGAAAAAAGGACCTCATGGTTTCTGCTATCATATGGAGAAATCACTAGTTTCTCTACATGAAGTTGACTAGAGTTGGTACTACATGTGGAGAAACCAATGATTTCTCCATAAAAGTAAGACACTGAGGATCAGAGTTAAACCCAAACCTGTTTAGGATAGAGTTGGATGAAATAACTGAAGATATCCAAGAAGACATTTCATGGGGATGTGTTGTTTGTTGATGAAGAAGAAGAAGAAGAAAAAAATATAATTACTACACTTCAAGACCAAAGAGTTACTCAAAATAACTATTTTCGCTATTTAGGGTCATTATTATAAAAAAATATGGGGAGATATGTGATGATGTAGTAAGTAGAGGATTGGAGCAGGGTGGACATCGTGGAGGCAGCTAGTTGTATTATATGTGACAAACGGATATCAAATAAATTAAAAGGAAATTTTCATAGGACAATTATTAGGCCCGCTATATTGTAGGAGCAGAGTGTTGGGTGTTAAAAAAGAAACAAGAACACCACATTCATGTAGTGAAAATATCCTACGATGGATGATAGGAGTAACTAGAAAATATAAGATTAGTAATGAATGAGTTAGGGAAAAACTTGAAATAAAGCCTATTAGTGATAAAATTAGAGAAAGTAGACTTAAGTGGTATGTTCATAAACAACATAGATATGAAGATGCACTGGATAGGGTTGTTTGCCTAGAAGGCAAGTGACAAAGAGGCTGACCAAACTTGGGATGAAGTAATTAAAATTGATTTTAAAAAGCTAAATAATAGAGGAGACATAATAGGAAATAATGGAAAAGGAGATTTCATTTGGCCAACCCCATCCATATGGAAGGCAAGTATGATGATGATTTCGAGGTGTGCACAGCAACACATTCATTATTGGATCTAATTCGCCTTTAGGTAGAAAATAAAGTAAAACTGGCAAAAAAAATTTAAAGACAAGGTGCATAATCTGATGTTATTAACATCAGATATCATGTTATTTTGCCAATAGAACAAGACTTGCAAAAAAGCTGTCTTTTGAAAAACATCCAATATTATAGTGTAATATACCGAGTCCAATGTCCAGCAAACCAGAAACAGAGTTTACACTAATGTAGACCTTAAATAAATTAAAAATAGGAAATATTAAAAAAAGAACATTTTGAAGAGCTCACTTGTCAAGTGCATTGTAATATCTGTCCAGGTCCTTGTTTGCCATCTCAGTTGTCTGTCACATAAAGTTTCAAGTTAATATAATCAAAAGACCAGTGAAGTAAATAATCGATCAATTAGAAATTTAGAACTATGTCTCACCTTGAGCTGAATTAGCTGATCAAAATACCGTTTGTCAATATCCTTGTATTGTGTCTGTTTAAGATCAATTTTGTTCTTTGAAATATTGCTCTGATATACAGACATTGTTCCATGGAACCTGTTTAACTGAATAATAAATAAATACCTCTCAATTTCCACACCGCATATAAGCAATAAGGTTGGCACTATAACAGAGATTCGACACAACAAAAGACAATTTGGGAAGTTGAATGTTCTAAGTGAAACAAAACAGGAAGTCATTCAACTATGTAAATGGAAATTTGAAAACTAGGTAGAAGCTAACCCTACAACACACAACCTAAATTTGGGAAGTTGAATGTTTTAAGGGAAACGAAAGAGAAAACTCATTCAACAATGTAAATGGACAACTGAAAAAAAGAGAAGCTAACCCTAAAACAAACAACCTAAATTATTGAAGATGTCAATCATAAGCCACTTTACACCATTTAATCCCATTCAGCTATTAGTTATCATTGCACTATAAGAGTTCACAACAACAAAACCTTAGCATTACTTTTACAAGCATGTCTAGTAGTTCCAAATGCTTTAAGAGACCATCCTTAATAGATTCCATCCACTACCTTTCATGATTTTTTTCTCACCTGTTTAATTCTTCCACATGTTTTTCCAGCTCATGACCTTATCTTATTTTAAATGCCACTCAACAGAATTTGTTTTTCTTATGATAAATAATAATAAATTCTGTATTAGAAAAGTAATTAAAAAGCATATTCAAAAGAACTTATAAATAGAGCCAGCAACGCAAGCTCAGTAAAAATCTTTAAAGATATCATCCAGACAAGAACCCTACAATAATTTTTTTGTTAAAAAATACTATATCTAACTCTCAATCAACCTTTCCAGGACTTATTTCCTTTCTTCCAGATACACTACTGACTACCAAGACAGTAATTTTCCATATAACATGCATGTTGACGTTGGATTCTTTCTATTTCTTTTTCTTTAATGTGAACAAAATGATTCAGCAAAAAAAAAAAAAAAAAAAAGTGAACAAAATGGTCTGATGATGTGCGTCATGATACACGAGTTTGGAGAATTTGTAATCATTTAGCCAATTGCATTAGTTGAATTATTGATTGTTAATTGAAAATAGAGAATTAAACGATGATAATACTGATGGGGTGAAATATTATAACCTTCAAGTTTTTTTTTTTGGGTAGGTAAACAACTCACAAACACCCACGCTACTAACCTTCAAGTTAGATAAAAAATATTTTCTTTTGAACCAGAAACACAATTTAATCTCCTTTATTTAAGAATTGTCTTAAAATTAGTGCCTTGCTTGTGTAGTATGGTAATTTTTTTTTTTTTTTTTTTCAAGCTTGTGTAGTATTTTTTCAAGCTTGTGTAGTAAGGCAACCATAAATCTCAACCTTTCAAAAATAATGAGTCACAGATTGAACCACAACTCTTCCTTCTTTTTTTGTCTCAACAAACAACATGCCCACTTCAGAAAGTTGAGAGGAGATACCAATGAGCTATAACCCTTGGTGAACCACATAACTTATTGTGCCGATATAAATGAATAACAAACTACAGTTAGTCATTGTGAATTGTCCAACTTCTGAAAAGTCAAGGTCTAAACAAAAACACCCTTATTTACAGTGGTGTGCTTCAACTGTTCATTCTCTTCCTCTCCCTCTCTCTCAAAGGTAGAATTTTTCCTAGCTTGTATGAGCAACAGGTCTCTATTAGTTTTAGTTTGCAGGGATTTGAACTACAAATGGGAAGTTATGAGTTGCAGTCAGAAAAATTAGGCCGAAACATTTTTCTTATATAAAGCTTCTTAGGAAGTCAAATGAAAACTTGGAAATACTTTTATTGAAATATTTAGACACTCCTTGTTGGGCAAGTATATTTTAGACATGTTAGTAGACATTCCTGTAACATCTTAAGACACTCAATAAGAATTCTGGAAACACAGAAAAGCTGGAAAAAATTTGTAACTCTTGTATAACAAACCTACCCATTGTATGTTTGTCATGCCTATCTTCCTTAATGATTCATGAACTTTATTTAGTCACTCCTTATAATTACATCTTAGCTTCAAATATGATTTTTCTGTGTTTTCGTTTTTCCTAACTTCTCTCAGCAAGTTTCTACCATCTGCTTCTTGCATTTCCGAAATATTTTTTGGGCTTTGTTTCCCATTCTGTTTCCCAAGCTTTTCCCCTTCCAGTTCTACATTTTGGTTACCCTAAATAGGAGTTTAAACATCTAATTGTGCAGACAAAAATAATTGGAAACACTTAACAGCTTTAGGTTGAAAAGTCAGGAACTGAGAATGAATTATGATCGTAGTTTTGAATCTGATCATCTTCATAAATCACCAAAACAAAAATTTAATACCATTCCCAACATTTCCTCATCAAGTTCTAAATTAACGTGATTTCTATCATCTTTTCAATTTTCCAACCCCCCTGCTTCTCTCTCTAGGAATGTGCACACATAAGATGTTTTGTTGTCTAAATTGTCATTTTCTATAAGTACCATAATAATATCTGGAAACATCAGCATCTACGTAGTGCCGCTTAAGTCTTAATATTAGGCTGGGTACTAGACCCAAAGATGACAGGCTTCTCCCAAGACATAGATAGGTTGAGAAAATTCAGAAAGAAGTTTACAATGATCACTAAAAGTTGAACCTATATGATTTCAGTACACTAACTCTTTGCTCTGCCTCAAAATTAATAATAGAACATTTAAATTTGATAATGTCATATTATCCAGCTAAGAAGAGGGACTTCTGAAATAGACAACTGCACTGTATACCCCACAGCAAGGTGAATCCTGATCAGATCCTATTGTCAACAATGATGTAAATTAATGTATGCATTCACATCATCAGATGCACCAAATTATAAGATATTGACAAACTTTTGTTATGAATACGTCTGAGGTGCAAGGAATTATGACTGATCCCACTCTTTTACTTGCACAGCACATAACTGACATATACATGTATGTGAGGAGGGAGGCATTGGGAGAAGGAAAGAGGGAACATAATACTCTAATTGAGTACACAATATGGGCAACTTAGGTTATAATAACTAGAAAATGGCCATTGCGTAGTATTAACCCCCATTATTTTAAGGGTGCTAAGAGAAGTTGACTGAGTATAGACATACTCTAATGGCATTTTTTGCACAAAATGGCTGCCCCCAAACGAAAATCCAAGTTCCCATACTTGAAGCACGAACTTTTAAACCACCTTCAAGAATTTCAAGGGTACTGCTCAAACTAACTTTTTAGTTTATTGCACTACAGACGCACCATTAAGGGGCAAATTTTCATCCCCCAGATGACCGCCACCACGCGCGCACATGGAAAAAAATTCATGGAAGGTTACTGTTAGGGCATGAATTCTAAGACGTGCTCGAGTGTTGCTCCATGAGTTACCTATGTCAATACTTGGAGCTTCAATGTTTTTGAGTCTAGCCAATTTACGTAACTTCTGTTCTAAATACAGAATCGTACATTTCTACAGCATTGCATTTATACTCAATATGGGCATTTTCTAGCCTCCTTTCTGACACAAGATGCAAAAAAGTTTGTGAAGATAATGAAAAGGCGGCATGAGAGAGTGATTGTGGGGGAAGATGAGAAGAAAAAAATAGATGTCACAGAGAAATTATAAAAATTGTACAGGTGTTACCCATAGATAAGTGCAAAATTAAAAAAAAAAAAAAAAAAACCACACTGTATACAAGAGAGCAGCAAAAAAGCTTGTGCACAAGGTCTAAACTAAATATATAAAAAAAAAGGCCACACTGAGTACAAGAAGTATTGTAAATACCAAGAACAGTAAAGCAAAGATGCCCACATGACTCATACATACCTCTGAAAGAAGTTGTTCTCTTTCCTGCGAGAGCTTTACAAGATCAGCTTCAAAGCTGGAAACCCCACCAATCTTCAGTATTTGGTCTTCCAGTGCTTCAATCTCACGGGTGAGCTCATCTACGTCAGCCTTTGTCTTTCTGTAATTCAAATTGTCCTCAATATTGCGTCTTAAGTGGTCTTGGTTCCTCATCAAATCTTTACTTTTGGTTAGTTCAGCCGAAATTTCCTGATTCCTGATATCACAACTTTTTAGTTGTGATTCCGATAGAGTTTGCTTTTCTTGCAGTTCCTTTAACCTCTCTCCTTTCTTGAAATCATAGTACCTGGTAGGACAAGACTACCATCATGTTCCTTTCCAGGGAAGGGAAAAAAATTTACCAATGAGATCAATAATGAGGGATAGCCACGTATATCACTCTCAGGTCCATGTAACTTACTCTTTTATTTTAGAAGCCACTTTACCAAGTGTCTCAACTTCCTGCTGATAATTTCTTTTAAGTTCAGCCTGCTCCTCATATTCACGATTAAGTTTTGCTGCCAAGTCGTTATAGTCACTTAAAAATTTCTCTTTCTCCTTGGATAAAGGGCCAAGAGCCTCCGCCAAATGCTGAAATTTCCAAGAGTGTAAATATATGATGCAGTACACAATAAGTATAACAAAGAATTTAATACAAAGGTAAATAGAAAAAAGGTTCAACAATATGGTTGAGCACCGCAAAAAGAAAAAGGAATTACGAACTAAATGTCTCTTATGTAAAAATTTAGACAACAGAAACAGCATAACAGAACATTTACTCAGATGGGAATTAAAGAATAAAAATTAGAACAACTAAGAGCGTATTTGGAACTAACAAAACTATAGAACACATTGCCTGCTTTATATTCATGTATGTCTATTAGCATGGCAGATATTCATTTCATGACCTCGCAACTCCCCACAAATAGAAACCAATAAAGAAATTATGTCGAATGGTTTTCTTCTTTTATCCTTCACTAGGAAATAGGAATTATAAATTCATTAGAATCCAAAAAACAGGAAAAGTGATTATTATCTCCCTCTCCAAAATATTTAAAAATGAACAAACAATTTATCTAACTTCAAATCTGACCAAATAGTCCAAGCGTGCCAATAAAACATTAGTAGCAGTTTTCTTGCTTGTGCAAAAACAGAACATTTGTAACGAGGTAAAAATTGTGTATATGAATACAAATATATTCATGAAGCTAACTGCTACCATCTGATAACTAATAATACATGATAAACATCTCCCTCTTGTCTCTCTCCATCACCTCACATCTACATTCAAGGTCAGCTTCAATCTATGCAAAGAGATGCCACTTTTTTACAATACTGCGCTTAATGTGACACAATTTGTGAACTTGAGTTTACGCAGGAAGATTCAAAGTTATTTATCACAAGTCCCCCTTTTACCTAAATAGTAGTTGTGCGGTAAACCAAGGCAGGAAGCAGTACTACAAGTTTAATCTTCTCCAACTCAAAGTGACATCATGAGATTTTATTTTTTAGTTTATATATATATATATATATATATATATATATATATATTTAATGTGTGACATCATGAGTTTTTTTTTTTTTTTTTTGATAAGTAAAATATATTAGAAAAGTGTTCAAAAGGGGAACGCGTCCCTAATACACAAAAATGAAAAACCTAAAGACCAATATAGTCCAGTAGATTAAATAAATCATCAATCGAGGAACAAGCGCTGCCTCTTACATAACATAAAAGAGAACGAAGAATATGAGATTTTAAGTTTGTTAGAGACGATTCCTTTCCTTCAAAATTTCTATTATTTCTCTCTCTCCAAATACACCACCAAACACAGTGTGGGACGATCCTCCAAAAATCACGAGCATGACCTTTAACAGGGCATCTTCTCCATGCGTTAATTAATTGAGTAGAGTGCTTAGGCATTACCCACTGAACGCCAAAAATACTGAATATGAGATTTCAACAATCGTACGCCACAGGACAATGCATAAGAATGTGATCTACGGACTCACCGTCTGTTTTACATAGGCAACACCAGTTAACAATGGTATTGCCTCTCTTTTGCAAATTATCCAATGTCAAAATCTTTCCCTAGGTAGCAGTCCAAAGAAAGAAAGCGACTCTAAGAGGAGCTTTAGAGCGCCAAATAGACTTCCATGGGAAATCTTGGCTAGCGAAATTAGACAAACACAAAAACATGGATTGTACTCCATATCTACCATGAGTGGAGGGGATCCACAAAATGTCATCACAACCTCTGCCGACATCCTTCTATCTATACAACAAGTCCATAAAAACACATGTTTCTGCCATCTCCCAATCCTGAAAAGAACGCCTAAAACGCACCTCCCACGTAACTCCACTGTTATCAAGTTGATAACAGTCAACTACGTAAGCATGCTTATTTTCGGCAATACTAAAGAGACAAGGAAAGGAAAGAGACAACAACTGATCACCACACCATAAGTCTTCCCAAAATCGAGCATACCTACCATTACGAACCTTGAATCTAATATGAGTGGAAAACACGTCCCAACCCTTCCAAATGAATTTCCAAACACCAACACCTCCCGTGACAGAAACAGGACGAGAGGACCAACCCTCACTCTCCTCCCCAAAACGACACGCGACAACTCTTCTCCACTGTTGATGGCACTCTTTACCGAACCTCCATAGCCACTTCCCCAATAAAGCTCTGTTTATAGGAACCAGCTTCCGAATGTCTAAACCGCCTAATTTCAACGGTTTGCAAACTTATTCCCAATTAACAAGATGATACTTAAACTCTTCTCCTCTTCCACCCCAAAGAAAGTCTCTCTGAATTTTTTCAATCCGTTCAACAACAGAGCACGGGATTTGAAACAGAGATAATGAGTTTTTATATCTGTTTTTATCATGAGTTTTTATCCCTTAGGAGTGGAGATCTATCTAGAAATATGCTAAAATATATATACAACTCATCCTTTTGACTAAACTATAGTCTGGTTGTACCATGAAACAAAACATATGTTAGTCTATTTTTATTTCTTAATACTGGGGCATGTCTCCTTTCAATACTCACCAGTTTGAAACCTAATTTTGCGCACTAAGATGAACCTTCTTGTTCCAAGACAAATCCCAGCAGCAACCTATTTTCATGCACTAAGCTGTACCTTCTTGTTCCAAGACGAGACCTAACAGCAAATTGTGACATTGAATGACCATCCCAGAAGCAAGATCATTTCTTCCAAAACACACCAGGGAAGGATAGACATGAAGTGAAAGAGAAAGTTTATTATCACTCTCTTGCATCTCCAATGGTTATTAGTTGGTCAAGAATTTACTACAGATTTATAAGATGGCATATAGAATTGGTTGTAAAAGTGAATTACCATAATTTCCATAAAAATATTTGCTACTTACCTAAATTTCCATCACTAACAACACATGTTTTTTTTCCTAGTTGGTACATGAGGCACCAGGGCCAAGTTCTTATCCACTTGAGCCAACCCCTTGGGGTTAACAACACAGATGTTTTAAGCTTCACACATCCAATATATGTTAGCTTGGGTGAATAACTGATCAAACAGGAGACCCTTAAGCAAACTAACATATACCAATTCCACCAACAAATTGTCTTTTTGATTTTACAGTTATCTGTGGCATAAAAAATACACAAGTTTAAATCAAATCATAACAGTTGAGTATTTAAATAAAAAAAGTCATATTGATAAATCCAGTCATGACAGTTGAGGTAAAAAAACACATTCATCCTGAATGAATCACCTTCTCATCAAGATCAACTTGACTTTTCTCCTCTGCCAAACGATCTAACTCTTCCTCTGCCTTTTTGACATCACGCAATGTATTTGCTGCTTTCATCTTTTCTTCCCGTTGAGCATGCCACCTTATCTGAATACTTGACAAATCATTTTCCATATACCTTTGTTCATCTCTTAGCTTCTCCAAATCATTATGCAAATTGTCCCTAGTTGCAAATAGCAAAGTAGAATAAAAAAAACTACTAGACAAATTATTATAACAAAAGAATATATCAATTACATTAAAAATAAAAATTCCTGATCAGAGTTTGCAAAACAAATGCGCTCACTCATCTCTAGACAATCAACGCAGGAAGAAAAAAAAAAAAAAAATTTAATTTAGTCTGAGGATAAGTAACCAGCAGATGAAGTATGTTAAATACTTTGTGCTCTGCAAGGTGTTCAGCTCCAACTGAATTTCCTCCAAAGATTTGGCACCTTGCCCTCGAAAATCAAGCTTATACTCCAAATCATCAATTTGTTTTTGCAAATTCTGTATTTCTTGAGAGAGCCTATCAGCATTTTCCACAGGCTGCACTAATGCCTCAATCGAGTCCTTGTCAGCCTTTATTTGAGCTAAAACACCCAACACCTGTAGCAAACAGATTCTTTCAATTGTTAAATTTAAGAAGCAACAATTCCAATATATAAATAAAAATAAAAAAATAGAAATCTAAAGCAAATATTAACAAATGAGGTACATAATAACCTAATTTGCTATGGCATTTGCAAGCAGGGTTCAAAGAATCGGCCAAGCAAACTCAGGTCAAAGGGGGCCAACCCTATACTACGATATATTACAACAAAGGCACAATACACACACACACAAACATTCTCCCAAGTTGTCCTGCTCAACTAGGCCAAAACAGCCATTTATTACAGTATGACTTCGAGAAGTTCAGTGACAGTACGAACCATACTTGATAGACGGCAGATCTACTACATGGCCCCCAAAGCACTCTACGTCTTATCTAATAAAGACCACAGGAACATTTCCACTTTCCTATTAGGATCTGGGCATAAAAAAATCAGAGGTCCAAAGTGTGTTGATAAGATTGAATGTTTAGGAACTTCTTGTTCTACAAGTAAAAGATATCACTATGAGGCGCCAAAATGGGGACACAAACTATATACAAACAGCTTATAGAAAGCATAAATTATACAACCTGATAATAAGATAAAAATAATTCATATTCTCAGCTATTTCCAAAATAGAATAAGGATAGGATTCAACTCCCCAATCACCCAGATGAATCAGAAACCCAAAAAACTACTCCTTTATCTTATGATCTGAAAATCTTAATTCCCCTCCCAACACACCACATCAAGCAGAAAGGGGCCATGACCGAAGACTTCCTCTTCTTCCAATTAATTCCGGCTTCTCTACAGCAGCGTGTGCTGCTTGAAGCACTTTTTTTTTTCAAATTTACAAATCCAGAGTCTTCTAATTATTTCCAAAATTTCATGTTCCTTTTTCTTCTGGTAGAAATTGTTAGCCTTCAGTGTGCTGCATCACCGGGTATTGCCCAATATCTATCTGATACCCCATGATCAAGTCATCTCAGTTCCCTATGAGACACTAATTAATAAATAAGGTCACTTTGGACCATATTTGCATGTCTTGTAAGATGTGGAAAGTAAGGGGAAAAAAGTAGAAGTTGAAGAAGAGGAGAAAAGAATTCTCTTACAATAAATTCCGATGAAGACTCGTACTTACAATATTGAGCTTCAGTACAAAGACCAGAATATCCTTCACATTATTTACAATACAAATTTAAATTACTATAAAAATTATAGTCTAACAATGACTATATATGTTTTCATAGACAAGAAATGTGGAACGCACACATCACAGAAGGGACAGTAAATACTAAGTAGTCGGTTGTTCATATCAAATAAACAACAAAGGGAGAATTGAACCCAATTTCTAATCATTGGTGTAATCAAGAATACTTCTCTAAATTCTATTATTTTTCTCAATCTATAAAAACCAAATCATACTCAGGAAGGTACAGTTTCAAAATCATGACTGACAACCATGTGAAAGCTTCACAAGGAAATTTAGAGCGACCTTGAAGAGGCAAGACCAAGAATTTTCCACTAAAAATTCTAGGCTACAATGCATACAGGTAGGCAATATACAAAGAGATGGATTTATTAAGGAGAACATATGTTCAGGCTAAGACCTTTAAAAGGGGCATCCATCAGGGGAGAATCTCATCAGGCTCTAATATTGACCCAATTATAATTAATGAGGTTCTTTCCAAGGCAAAGCCTTACCTACAAGTAATATTAGGGTTCCACATCAATCTCACCAATTGGAATATAGAGGGATTACCTTCTCTCAAATAAAAGCTAGAGAAAATTTGTGAAGTGAAGGAACCACTACTACTTAAACCCCACCATCTCTTGTCCAAACTAAATATGGGAACATTGAATAGAAAATATGGAATACTAGCTTTTTAGTATATTACCAATGTGATTCTTAAGAAAGTTGAAGATACAGGAATTGGAAGTATTAGATCAAACTACAAAACAACAATAGGGGTGCCACAAAGATTGGATATTGTGCAAATTAGATACGCTTAAAGGCTTATCAAGTCTACTTTCTCAACATGTAAAGAGCTAAAGATCATAACGAAATTCAAAGTATAGAATCAATTGACTCCAAGAAGACAAAAAGATAAGATTTTGACTGAAGTCACTGAACGCAATACCACATGCTAGTATTGACTCTAAGCCCACTAAAAGCATGTCCTAAGGTTTCCAAAACACGTGTGCAATTCTGAAAACAAAGAAGTCGCCTACATCTCACTTGCCATCCATCCCAAACTTATATTCCTCTATATCTTGAGGAGACTGGAGTCCCTTCCCAGGGTCATCCCTCTACAAAAAAGCCATAGGAAGAGAGGTGGGTAATAAAGTCTCTTATGTGAGCATTATCCGATACCTGTTTACAAGTTTCCAAGTCTTCTAAGATCATTCAAGTGAATTTTATCCAATTAAACCAAATCCAAAACATAGGTCAAAAGTGGTCAAAACTATTTAAACCTTTCTCAACCTAATTCTTAAGTTCTCTAAGATCTCAACTAGCTTTTAAAGTGTGATTGAACATCATGAAGTATATTGCTGAGACTCTAATTGACAAAATGACCATCAAGGACTAGAAATAACAGAACTTACAATTATAATTTGGTCACACAACCTTAGTATTAAACTTCAAACAGAATATGCCAACTGACAAATATATATATCCTAGCATTATGTTGAAATGAGAAATCAAATAACCTGGGACCTCGATTTCCATGGACTAAAGTCACTTACTGTAAGCAGTTTTTAGCACAGCTTTAACATCCAACAATTTTCTTGAAAGCCCAGGCCACGGGCATTTCAAGAACAGAGAGGAAGTGAGGATTACAATAAACAGAAAAGTAGCAAATAACTAATAGATCTTAACATAATCAAAAGACAAAGAACAGATAGCGCCGCAACAAAACAAGCTTACTGCACCAGAATCCCTTAAACAAAATATAGCAGACTTGATATTTACATCATCAAGAGCCTGTGATTTTCTATCCAAGTCTTCGTTTAGCTCGTTCAAATTTTTCTCCGCAAGAGGAATTGTTTCTTTGCCAATTTTAGCATATTCTTCGTATACCATACGAAGCTTGTCTAACTGCTGAAAGTGGGAATCGGCGTTTGAAGAATCCACAGCCAAAACTTTCAGGCGCTCCGCAGAACTTGCGGCCTTCACTCTTTGCTGTAATGTACAAGACAATATAAACCAATTTAGTGAGAACCAGCGGAAGCGAAGAAAGGCCGAGTGTGTTTCAAGATAGTGCACAACATCCGAGAAATAAAACTAATATAACAACCTTTTTAACAAATTCATCTTCCTCTTCAGCAGAGAAAGGACGTTCACAGCAAGGGCAAACATGATGAGCACGAGCTACCCTTTCAAATGGATCAAACATTTGCCTCATACCATCAGCGATGTTGTATTTGCTGCATGAAGCATATCAAAAAATGAAAAAAATCAAAGAAACAAATTACTAACTTAAATATTAATAGATGATGCATGAATATATGTGTACACACATAAGTTTGTGTTTGTGAGTCTATGCTGCATTTAAAATGGATTCAACCAAGAACCTTTTCTGGACGTCTCTTTTATCTTTAGCCACATCCAAGACTTTAAGATATGAGTCAATAAGAGACTGCTGATCCAATGACTGGAGTTTTGATTCAATAAATCTCTTCCTTGCTGCATTCAATCATAAGACAAAAAAAAAAGAATAGTAAATCTCAGCAGGCCAATTTTATCCATTGCAATTGTCTGCAGAAGAGTATTAAGAGAGAGAGAGAGAGAGAGAGAACAGCTACATAAAATATTTCTGCCAATAATTTGTTCATTTCTCAAGCTGCTACGCAACATCTTCTTGTTATAATAGATTGACATCATATATGGGTTGAATACTCGTGCAGTATTTTTTCACAGTGCTGATTCTAAAGGTTAATACTTTACTTTTTGCCTTTATATTTTGTTTGTATCAGTTGGAAGAAAATTTCTCATATTAGTAGTTTCTAGCATTGGGTGACCTAGGATTTTATCTGTGCAGATATCCCAACTGCACCAAGAAGAAGTAAAGCATAGATAATAGTTAATGGCATATAATCATGTCAAAACTAGAGAAAATTAGGGAGAAAAATCTTACGATACTTTTATTCTTCTCACAATGAGGTATATATACTATACACATATTTACATATAAGGTAAGTATTAAGTTTACAAAGTCAGCTCTAATCAACTACGCTAATTATGCTAATAGATGCAAGGTAAACCCTAATCGATCACTTTAACACTCCCCGTCAAGTTGGTGCATAGATGTCTCGCATGCCCAACTTGTCGATTTAAGTATTGAAACTTCTACTTGATACTGCCTTTGTCAAAATATTTGCTAGCTGGTCCTTGGTCTTTACAAATGGCAAGCTAATTATTCCAACTGTTAGTTTCTCTTTGATATAGTGTATATCTACCTCAACATGCTTGGTATGATCATGTTGAACTGAGTTATGTGCGATGCTAATGGAAGCCTTGTTATCACAATAAAGACTCATAGGTTTCAAGGGACAGAAACCCAATTCACCCATCAAGATCTTCATCCATAACAGTTCTTGAACCCCATGGGCCATAGCTCTGAATTTTGCTTCTGCACTTGATCTAGCCACCACATGTTGCTTCTTACTCCGCCAAGTTACTAGGTTTCCACCTACGAAAGTAATGTATCCAGAAGTTGATCTTCTATCAGTTATTGATCCAGCCCAATCAGCATCGACGTAACCCTCAACCTCTAGATGTCTATGTTTAGAAAACATTAGACCTTTACCAGGAGCATATTTTAGATACCTGAGAATCCGATATACAACATCCATGTGAGCTTCACTAGGTCCATGCATAAACTGACTCACCACACTAACCGCATAGGCGATGTCAGAGCGTGTATGAGATAAGTATATTAGTTTCCCAACTAGCCTTTGGTTGGTACCTTTCCTTATTTGTAGGAACTTGGTCTAGATATTCCCCCAACTCGTGGTTTTGCTCAATTGGAGTATCTGCTGGTTTGCAAGCTAGCATCCTAGTTTCAGTCAACAAATCCAAGACATACTTCCTTTAGGACAAGAAAATACCATGCTTTGATCTGGCCACCTCAATACCCAAAAAATAATTCAGAGTACCCAGATCCTTCATCTCAAATTTCTTGGCTAAATAATTCTGGAGTTTTTTAACCTCTTCGTCATCATTACCGGTAACCGCCATATCATCCACAAACTATTAAGGCAGTAATCTTGTCCTTATTTCTCTTGAGGAATAGAGTATGATTAGCTTGGGTCTGTTTGAATCCATAGTTTTTCATTGATTATGTGAACCTATCAAACCATGCCCTTGGAGATTGTTTAAGTCCATACAAGGACTTTCGCAACTTGCAAACCTTATCCACATCACAAGAAGTAGTAAACCCTGGAGGAGGGTCCATGTAGACTTCCTCATCCAACTCTCCATGTTGGAAAGCATTTTTCACATCAAACTGACGTAAAGGCCAACTAGATTTGCAACCAAGGACAAGAGGACCCGGATGGTGTTCATTTTGGCCACTGGTGCAAAGGTTTTTGGTAATCAATCCCATCATTTGTGTATAACCTTTAGCCACTAGTCGGGCCTTATATATGTCAATGGAGCCATCTGCCTTATGTTTCACGATGAACACCCATTTGCAACCTACAGTTTTCTTACCCTCCGGTAGTTAAACCATATCCCAAGTAGAGTTTTTCTGAAGAGCTTTCATCTCCTCAATCATAGCACTTCTCCATTTAGGATTGCCAAGAGCTTCCTGTACACTATTAGGAATGGACACAGAGGACAATTGATTTGTAAAAGCATTCTATGAATTAGACAAACGGTGAGATGATACATAATTGAATATAGGGTATTGGACAACATTACCAGATAAAAAAGTAAACCGTTGAGGAGGTTTACTCCGATTAGGACAAACAGGATAACGAGGACCTTAAGATTCATTCTGTATCTCATAATAACCTGCTGAGATTGTTGGGATATCAAGGTTAGACTCAAAGGAAATGTTAGGCTCGAGAGAAGATGGAAGAGTATGAATTACCTCCAGATGATCTTCAAGAATATCCTCATAAGGAGCCGTTTGGTCCAATAGTTCAAGAGGGGACTTTGCCGAACTTGTTTGAGTGCCTTCCTGATTATCTTTTTGATTATCCATATGTACCTTTTTCCTTTTCACATACACCCTTAACTCTTTCTCCTTCTTTTCAGGTACTATCTTTGTCCTTTGCACAATTAGTGTTTCATCCAAAAAATACTTCTCTTCCACCTGACTCCTAATCTCCCCCTGAAGAGAAGTATCAATAACTCCCCCTTAAAAATAGGCTTCTTTCTCACAGAAGGTGACATCCATAGAAACAAAGAGTTTACAGGTAGGAGGATGAAACAACGATATCCTTTCTAGGTGGCAGAATAACCCACAAAGATACACTTCAAGGCACAGGGATCCATCTTACCTCGTTGATGCGGGTGAACATGGACAAAACTAACACATCTAAAGACCTTAAGAGGAACGCTAAGACGGGAAGGAAGAGAATGATACCGGGACAAGGCTTGGAGAGGTGTTTAAAACTGGAGAATGCTAGATGGCATGCGATTTATAAGAAATGCAGCCGTAAGTACTGCGTCACCCCAAAAAATTTTGGGAACACACATAGCAAAGCATAAAGATTGAGCGACCTCTAGGAGATGGCGATTTTTACGCTCAGCTATACCATTCTGTTGAGGGGTAGAGACATATGAGGTCTGATGAACAAGGCCATGTTGCTGGAAGTAGGCACCAAAAGTATGTTTGAGATACTCTCGTCCATTATCAAATCCGATCACCTGTATGGAAGCATTAAATTGTGTACAAAGCATTTGGTGGAAATTTGGAAAAATAGAAGCCACATCACTTTTTATTCTTCATCAAATAAACCCAAGACACTCGTGTGCAATCATCAATAAAAGAAATAAACCATTGTGCACCACTGTGAGAAGGAACCGAGAAAGGACCCCAAACATTAGTATAAATGAGTGCAACAGGAACATCACTTTTATTAAAATTTAAAGGAAATGATACACGATGGTGTTTTGCTAAAACGCAATGTTCACACGGAAAATCTAAAAGAGAAACTTCAGAGAATAACGAAGGAAATAAACGTTACAAATAAGGAAAAGATGGATGTCCCAGTCTTCGATGCCATAACCAAATCTCTTCTCTAGCCTTGAATTCCTCTACTCCAACTTGGTACACTTGGGCAAAATTGGAACCAGGTGAAGCACTCAAATCCAAGTAGTACAGGCCCCCTCTCTCCCTACCAAGACCAATCGTTTCCTTTGTAAGAATATCCTAAAAAATACAATAGGTAGGGAAAAATGTTACACAACAATTTAGATTCTTAGTAATTTGACTTATGGAGAGTAAATTATTAGAAAGGGAAGGAAAGTGTAAAACAGAAGAAAGAGACATAGAAGAAGACAAAGGAACATAACTACCTCCTAAAATTGGTGTGGACAAACCATTAGCAACTTTAACACTATTCCTAGAAGGATTAATTTTTAAACAAACCGAGTTGGGTTATTAGTCATATGATCAGAAGCCCCTAAATCAATGATCCAAGATTGAGCACAAGGAACCGAAGAAATACTCAAGGCATATCCCAAATTACCTGTATTGGCCAAAGAGGTAGAAGCATCAACCTGGGAAACCTGCTCAGAAGGTTAGGTTACCGAGGAAGGCAAAGAAAGTTGTGGTGCTATTTGAGTGTCACCAAAAGTATGATGAGCCTGAGACCCAGAGTTGTCTCCCATTATCTGGGCATTCTTCTTCTGAACATACCAGTCTGGATAGCCATGTAGCTTAAAGCATGTTTCTCGAACATGTTTAGTACCATTACAATAGGTACATCTCCTAGTATCAGAGGATTTGGAATCAGATGAACCGGAAGAGGACCTGCCTAGAGGAATAGTGGTACCAGTAGAAGGATTCACCGATACAATCTTAGGAGAAGATCCCACTTTTATAGCTGAGCCATCACTGAATTTTCCCGCCATCATAGTTAGTTAACGAAATTCCTCACGGCGCACAAAAGCATAAGCACTCTGAATACTTGGAAGCGGATCCTGAGCCAATACTTGGCTTCTAATTTGGTCTAGACTGGGATCTAAACCAGCCAAAAAATCATATAAACGATCCTCCTCAATCTGTTTTTTCATTGTAACTGCATCTTTTGCACATTCCATGGAACAAGGATGAAGATAATCCAATTCTTGCCAAATAATTTGAAGTGCAGCGTAATACTCAGTTAAAGTCTTACCATTCTAACAGGTTCATGTGCTCGGCAACGGAGTTCATACATCTGTGAAACATCTTTGCCAATAGAAAATGTTTGAGCAACTGAATCCCAAACATCATAGGTAGTGGGCAAGCGGAGAAATACAGCCCTAATCCCGGTAGCCATCGAATTGAGTAACCATGACTTAACCATGGCATTCTCCTCCACCCAAGTAGCATAAGCAACAATATCTTTTTCATTAGGCTTAACCTTGGCATTCTCCTCCACCCAAGTAATTTGTAAGGACAAGTGGTCCTGATGATCAGTAACCAAGGCAGACACTGGAGAGACAAAAGTTGAATCTCTTTTATCTCTCGAGTCACCCATTGCTTGTAGCACTTAAAAAAACAAATATATTGACTAAAGAACACAGCAACTCAGATTGTAAATCCCAAAAATTATAGCAATACAGATTGCAAATTCAATAAGAAGAATAGTTGCAGTAGAGAAAACCCAAAAAACTCACAGCACAAAAGGAGAAGAACGAAGTCAGCGACGAGTCAACCTGAAAACAGATTGTCCACTACCTTCAGATCAAGCCGAGAGGGTCTGAGTAAGTCAAATCGATGATTTGCAGATAAGCCGCATCGGAAATCAGTAGTTAATTGGCAAGAAATCAACAAACCAAGCCGATTGGAAGCAAAGATAAGGCCGACAACAAGAACCGATCGGTCGAAGAGAAAGATAAGCCACTGGTAAGCAGAGTAAAGCCAGCAGCAGGTATGATTATATGTACTTAGAGTGATGGTAAGTATGGGTATGGGTAGAGTTTAGACAAATTTGTGACTGCTAAGGTAAATCAGAAAAACCCCAATCGTGTATGCTCTGACACCATGTCAAAACTAGAGAAAAATAGGGAGAAAAATCTTACGATACTTTTATTCTTCTCACAAGGAGGTATATATACACACATATTATACATATAAGGTAAGTATTAAGTTTACAAAGTCAGCTCTAATCAACTCCGCTAATTATGCTAATAGATGCAAGGTACACCCAAATTAATCACGTTAACAAATCTCATATAATGCGATATCCAATAACTTTTGGGAACAATTTGCCATCTCTTTTGACCCTGCCATAATCTGAATTCTGAGAGTACCCTTCCCTACTCCTTCAAAGCTCATCTTGATTTTGTTAAAAATCTCCACTCATTTGCCATTACATATAGCATAGGAAAGCAGAACTAATAATTGAGCATCCTCTGATGAAATAAAAATGAAAAATATCCCTTGACAAGGGCAATGGAATTGTAAAATGTTACCAACTTAACCACAAAATAAATGCATGCACAGGCAGACATAGATCTGTTACCGACAAGTACTGTTCCTTGTCAGATTCTTCAATATAACAAGACTGATGTTACATAAAAAAAAAATTAAAAATTTAATGAGCCAAGAGATGATACAGTATTGATAAATTACTTTACTCAAGCTATGTATGAGGCTTACAGTCCATATCCTTGTGAAGTTTGGACAGGTTATTATTAACTTCTTGTATTTTCAACTGCAACACATTCACCTCCTTCTCAGCTTCACGAGATTTTGAGTTCAAGTCATCAAACTCCATCCCAAGAGGCCTGAGAAAGTATACATGAAAAAATTTAAAGAACACCAGTGAAGCTTATCAAGATCCATGATTTAGAAGCCAATCACCCCCTAAACATCCCATCATAAAAAGGAAAGAATTCAAATTAAAACTGCATCATATAATACCATCAACCAGAACTATAACATGCATTAACTACAAACTTACTATCTTGGCAAGTCAAGCAAAACAAAGGGTTCGAACACTCAGTCCAGTTGACACTCTGAAGAATTTGATAAGTGTTTAATACCTATACACTTACTATAATGCAAGTCTAATGAAGACAACCAATGCATATTTATACTCTACACAGCTACAACAACAGATAAGGAAATGAAAAATGAAACCTAACACAGCATGCTCACATATTAAATTCCAAAAACTAAAAACTAGAGAAAGCATTCGCATCATGATAATTGATTTGCCACCAATTCACTGATTCACAAAATATCAGTAAAATGAAAAAGAACTGCTTTCAGAGAGATCATCGTAGAGTGAAACAACCAAAAGCAAACAACCTTAGGGCTTGGGTAATTTCTTTCTTTAAATCCTTGTCAGGAGGAAGCCTTCCTTTTAGCACTCCTCTAATTCTATCCTTGTATTCATCCATTCTGGAAAGTAGGAAAATATATGAGCTTCAAAGAAAAATGAAAATAGATAGAACAGAAACATACAGAAGAAATGGAAAACACGACAGAACTTGGGGGGGGGGGGGTTGTTGGAAAGGAAAAGAAAAGAAAGAAAGATTGGACTTGCATCTTTTTGTGTTTCTTCCTGTGGTTTTCCAACTCTGCTTTCGTAAGAGACAGTTTCACTCTGTCGTCCGAATCACCAGCCATGTTGTCTCTTTCGCGGTTAAGAGATTTAATTTGTTGTTCTATGGAAAATATTTCACTCTGCTTTTGGCGTATATTTGATTCAAATTCTCTTTCAGCAAGTTGATTTGTCTTCCTCTCAACCTCAATATGCTGCAAAGATAGACAGAAGCACGAGTTACATAATTTAATGCGGTCAGGCAAAAGACTCAAAACAAAGTTCATGAAATCCCAAGGCAAGAAAATTGAATGGTGCCATCATTTACCATGTTCTTTTCTCTCTCATCCATGCGAGCCAGATTAACATTAGAAATCTGGAGTTCAAATGAATCACGCTCGTTTTTCTTCTCTTCTATACGTGTCAAAATACGACCCTGCAAGGAATTACAAATTATATCCGACATGTAAAATTAAGGACTCGGCACTAGAAAAGATATACAGAATGCTCCTTATACACAAACCTTGATCTCCACTTTAGCCTGTGTTTGAGCCTCAACATCTTTCCAACGGTCATTTGCATGCATGTAACAATCCCATGCCACCTCAAGTTCTGTCTTGTTTGATTTCTGAAATAGTAACAGTCAATGTCCATTACTGCAGATGACAATTTGTTTATGTCTCCCCTAACAAATAAAGGCAGATTTTCCCATCTATACTATTATTAAAAGTACAAAGACTTTCCATCATATTTTGAGTTTATATCATATTTTAAGTTTCTATCATATAGTTATTTATTTATTCATTTAAAAGAGTTCCTATCATATATTACCTTTTCGTAATTTACCTTTCTCTCAATAAAGAGTTTCTATCACATATTACCTTTTCTTAATTTAACTCTTTCTCAATAATTTACCTTTTCAAAAGAGTGAGTGTTTATTTATCCATACTATTATTAAAGAGTTTGAAATAGAATATAATTTAAAGAAAAAGTAAATTTGCTATTTAGGGAAGAGTTAGAATACAATAAAATTAAGGAATAGGTTAGAAAGAGTAAATTTTTATATGTTAAAAAGAGTAAATGTTTATTATTCAACATGCATTATAAATAAATAATTATAATAATTTACCACGGCAATTTACTTCTTCCCTAAATAGCAATTTACTTTTCTTTTAATTATATATAATTTCAAACTCTTTCTCAATTCTTAATCTCTATAATAATAATTATACGGAAACATCGGGATTTCTTAAAGCAAGCTTCCCCGCAAGGATGAGCAGATTTTTTTTTTTTTTTATTAGTAAGAATTCATAAAAAGCGCTCAAAAGAGGAACGCATCCCTCATAAACAACAGAAGGCCAAATAGGGCCTCTAAACTATGTTAGCTGGACTTAGGTATGTGTGTCGGACATGAATATGTATCCATGCGTCGGACGTGTCAGATCTCTAAATAGAAGGACACCACTAAATATTAATTTTATTTTCTAGAGTAAAGTAATGTTTTTTCTTAACATAGTGGTCAATGTAGGCATTTAACTCATTTTAAATTAATAATATAATATAATTGAATGATTGCATATGGTTTTTACCTACATGTGTACCCAAAAGTGTCGGACACATATCCCATACCCATGTCCAATCACTATGTGTCCGAAATGGGTACTTCACTACTTTTGAAGAGTCCATGTAACATAGCCTCTAAACCCTCAACAAATCCAAAAACTCTACAAAGCTCATCCAAGGATTTACAATTTCTCCCTAGAACCTAACAAAAAAAGTGCTAAGAATAGAGAACTTCAACGACCCAATATGATTTTCCTTTCTTTCAAATGATCTCCAATTCCTTTCAAGCCACAAACACCACCAAACGCATAAAAAAGTAACCCTCCAAGAGTCCCAAGCTTGGGCTGCCATTATACACCCTCTCCAAGCCTCCGGTAGACCGTAGCATAACCCAGTGAATCCTAAACAAAAACCAACAATCTCGAGCCAATGGGCAATGTAAGAGAAGATGGCCAACCGCCTTCTCATCATTATTGCACATAAAACACCAGTTGACCACAATCTGTCTTCCTATCTCAAGATTGTCCTGAGTTTAAATCTTTCCCAAAATGGATGTCCAAGCAAAGAACGCTACTTTAAGAGGCGCCTTTGTTCGCCAAACGGCCCTCCATGGAAAGGACGGTCCAGCAGCATCCACAAGACAGCAGTAGAACGACCGAACATCAAACCGCCATAAGAAGAAGGTGTTCAAACGCAAAAGTCAGAAATCTCCTCTGCTATCTCCTGACGATACAACAACTCTAAAAAGCCAAAAATATCTTCCATCTCCCAATCCTGAAACTGTCTCAAGAAACGTACATCCCATACTGTTCTTCCGCTATTAAGACGATAGTAGTCGACCACCATGGCATCTATATCAGTAGCAATCCGAAAAAGTTTAGGAAAAGTGATAGCAAGTGAGCAATCCCCACACCAAGTATCATCCCAAAAATGTATCCTCCTACCATTTCTGACACGAAATCTATTGTGCTTGGAAAAATCGTCCCACCCCTTCCGAATATGTTTCCAAACCCCAACCCCAAATGGGATTCTCACCTCATGGGAGTACCAACCTCCCCTCGCTTCTCCATGTCTGCTCACAATCACCCTCCTCCATAGTCTGTGCCTCTCAACTCCAAACCTCCAAAGCCATTTACTTAATAAGACCTTCTTAAAAGGCACTAATCTTCTAATACCCAAGCCTCCTATCCGAATTGGGGTGCAAACCCTCTCCCACAGCACCAAGTGACACTTGAACTCCTCCCCTTTACCACCCCACAGAAAATTTCTCTACAACCTCTCAATAATTTCAGCCATTGAAGATGGAATCTGAAAGATAGAAAGGAAGTACGTAGGAAGACTCGGCAAAGTGTTCTTCAAGAGAGTGACCCTCCCCCCTTTGGAGAGGTACTGTTTCTTCCAACCAGCCAACCTCTTCTCAAATCTCTCCACCACTGGATCCCAACTGCCCACCCTCCTGGATGAATCCCCAAGAGGCGGACCCAGATACGAAATGGGTAAAGAACCAATTATGCATCCCAAAACAAGAGCTAAAGTAGAGATATCAGGAACCTCCCCAACCGGCACCGGCAAACTTTTTCCAACATTGACTTTCAAGTCGGATACAAACTTGAAACCAAATCAGAACACATATCAAGCATCTCATCTGAGACACATCCGCATCACAAAAAACCAACGTGTCGTCCACAAACATCAAATGAGAGATCTCCAGCTGACTAGCAACATCCCTACCCACCCTGAAGCCATTCAAGCAACCCATGTCAACTGCCCTTATCATCATTGTGCTGAAAGCCTCCATCACAATAAGGAAAAGGAAAGGAGACAACGAATCCCCCTATCTATACCCTCTCGAACTACCAAAGAATCCTGTCGAGGCTCCATTCAAGTACAAAGAACCGAACACTAGAGATGCAACATTCAATCCATTTCCTCCATCTCTCTCCAAACCCGTTCCTTTCCAAGAGGTATACGAGGAAACTCCAATTAACATGATCATAAGCCTTTTCGATTTCCAATTTGCAAACACCACAAGGCATCCCACCACTTAGTCTGGAATCCACACACTCACCGGCAATTAGGAAAGACCGCCTACAAAAGCATTTTGAGAATTCGAAATGATATTGTCCAAAACATCTCTCAGGAGATTATGGGCACATTTCATGAGTTTCATTCCACTGGGAAGTTTGAAAAGTCGTTGAATGCTTCTTTTATTGCTTTGATTCCCAAGAAGGGGGTAGCTTCTGATATTAAGGACTATCGACCTATCAGTTTGATTGGGTGTTTGTATAAGCTTATCGCCAAAGTCCTGGCCTCAAGATTGAGGGGGGTTTTAGACGGAGTCATTTCAGAGTCTCAAAATGCGTTTATTGGGGCAGACAGATTCTGGATTCCACTCTTATTGCCAGTGAATGTGTGGATTTTAGGCTTCGTTGCGCCGTTCCCGGAGTTTTGTGTAAGTTGGACATCGAGAAAGCCTATGATCATGTTTGCTGGAACTTCTTGTTTTATTTGCTTGAGAAGATGGGTTTCGGTGAGAGATGGAGGAAATAGATTGTTTCTTGCATTTCATCTGTCAGATTCTCGGTGCTGGTTAATGGTTCCCCTTCCGGGTTTTTTAGCAATTCTCGTGGTTTGAGGCAAGGGGACCCTCTCTCCCCTTTCTTATTCATTATTGTTATGGAGGCTCTTAGCAGGCTAACGAGGAGGGCTGTTACCTTGGGGCTTTTTCGGGGCTTCAAGATTGGTCCTGAGGCAGTTCATCAATTGGAGATTTCTCACCTGCTGTTCGCGGATGATACGTTGGTTTTTTGAGAGGTAGAGGTGTCCCAATTGAGATACCTGAGATGTGTCCTGGTTTGTTTTCAGGCCGTTTCTGGTTTGAGAATCAACGTGGGCAAGAGTGTGCTTGTTCCTGTGGGGGAGGTTCAGGAGGTGAATTCCCTGGCAGCTGTTCTTGGATGTAAGACGGGTTCCTTCCCTATTTCTTATCTGGGTTTGCCTTTGGGGGTCTCCTCAAGAAGGGTGGGTTGCTGGGACCTAGTTGTTGAGCGCTTCGAGAGAAGGTTGGCTAGATAGAAAAAACAATATCTTTCGAAGGGAGAAAAAGTTACGCTGGTGAAGAGTGTCCTGTCCATCCTCCCAACATATTTTCTTTCTCTGTTCCAGATTCCCTCTTCTGTTGTCAGGAGACTTAAGATGATTCAACGTAACTTCCTTTGGGGTGGTAGGGGGGAGGAGTTTAAGTATCATCTTGTTCGGTGGGAAGAGGTCTGCAAGCCTCTTAAGTCAGGATGTCTTCGGATTCGGAGGTTGGTCCCCTTCAATAGGGCCCTTCTTGGCAAATGGCTTTGGAGGTTTGGCAGTGAAAGACATAAACTTTGGAGGAAGATCGTTACTTGACGGTTTGGGGAGGATAGAGGGGGTTGGTCTGCTAGACAGTCTAGATCTGCTATCGGCGTGGGTGTATGGCAGTCTATTGGGAAGGGTTGGGATGAGTTTTCTAAGCATATTAGATTCAGAGTCCGAGAAGGTCGGAGTGTCCGGTTTTGGGAGGATCCTTGGTGCGAGAAACGTCCTTTGCGTCAACAGTTTCCAAGGTTGTTCAGGATTGCTATGGATTGCCATGCTTTGGTTGCTGACTGCTATCACCTTGATAGCGGTAGGTTATCTTGGGATGTTCAGTTCCGACGAGCTTTCTAGGATTGGGAGCTAGATGATGTCTTTGGACCTTTTGTATCGACAGGAGGTGGATGGCACTGGGGCGGACCTTTTGACTTGGGTGCCTTCTTCGCAGGGGACTTTTCAGGTCCGGTCTTTCTTCTTCTGTCTTTCCAATTTTCAGGCCCCCTCTTATCCATGGAAAAAGGTTTGGCGTTCGAAGGCTCCTCTTAGGGTGGCTTTTTTTGCTTGGACTGCTACTTGGGGCAAGATCCTGACTCTGGACAATTTGAGGAAAAGGAGACATGTCATTATTAATCGGTGTTGTCTGTGTATGACCGATGGAGAGTCTATGGACCACCTTCTCTTGTACTGCCTAGTGGCCCATGATTGTTGGAGCCTTATGTTGGGTCTTTTTGGAGTTCAGTGGGTTATGCCTCGGACCTCACGGAGTCTTATTGATATTTGGAGGGGACAAAGGGTAGGGGCTCAAGTTCGCGACTTTTGGAGGGCGACTCCCTTCTGCATTTGGTAGTGTCTTTGGAAAGAACGCAATAGAAGATCCTTTGTTGGGGAGGAGCTACCCATTGGGGCTATTAAATATTCTATTTTTTCTTCCCTTTTTAGTTGGGGTATGGTGAGAGATTGTTCTTCCGTTGAGGAGTTTTTGGACTTTTTGGGTCTTTGGATCCTTAGGCTTTCTTTTTTTGCTTTTGGTTCTTATATAGCTCTTGGAATGCATTCCCCTTTTAAACGCTTTCTAATACAATTTTACTTATCAAAAAAAAAAAAAACATCTCTCAATCACAATGTTGTTTATAAGATCTATTTTTCTGTTGAGATTCTGTCTAATCATTATTTTCATTGATCACAATATGATGTTCCAGCCAAAGTTAAATGCATAATTTATTATTGTAAGAATTTTTTAAATTGTTAGCATTATTTAATATTGTAATCAGTTTATGTTAATTAATATATTAGTGGGACCATATAATAAACTTCAGTTTTTTAATTCATATAAGAAAGATCCAAAAGTAGAGAAAAATAAAATAAAATAAAAGTATCTATGATTTTCACTTTCTTTTGAACGAATTATTTATCTATAATATAAATATTTTTAGAGGCTAAATCATGATCACGGTACAATAATAATTTAAACACACTATAGATAATTAGTAAAAACAAAAATAATTAGTTTATTTATTCTTATGATTGAGCTTATTAGGGACATTTATTGTGCGGTTTCTTGAGAGTTGGGAGGTGGTGCAAGCTAAGGTGATGGGCACCTTTCAGGATTTTTATTCTCATGGCACATTTGAGAAATCACTGAACGCATCTTTCATTGCTCTCATTCCCAAGAAGGGTGGTGCCTCTGATATTAAGGACTTTCTACCAATTAGCTCAATTGGATGTTTGTATAAGCTTATTGCCAAGGTTCTTGTCTCCAGGATGAGTAATGTTTTGGATGGTCTTATTTCAGAATCACAGAATACTTTTGTTGGTGGGAGGCAGATTTTGGATTTTGTTCTTATTGCAGGGGAATGTGTTGACTCTAGAGTAAAAAGTGGGGTTCCTAGCGTTTTATGTAAGCTTGATATCGAGAAAGCTTATGATCATGTTAATTGGAAATTTGTTCTGTATCTGCTTAGGAGGATGGGGTTTGGTGACAGGTGGATAAAATGGATTGAAACTTGTATCTCGTCAGTTATGTTTTCTGTGCTCGTGAATGGTTCACCTACAGGTTTTTTTGCTAGCTCGCATAGTCTGCGACAAGGAGACCCATTATCGTCTTTTCTTTTCCTTATTGTCATGGAAGGTCTGAGCAAATTAATGAGAAAAGCGGAAGATTTGGGTTACATCGGGGGGTTCAGTGTTGGCAGAGATGTTGAACATCAAGTGCAGATCTCCCATTTGTTGTTCGCGGATGATACTTTGGTTTTTTGTGATGCTTAAGTTTCTCAACTCAGATATCGGAGGTGCATTCTTGCTTGCTTCCAAGCGGTTTCTGGGTTAAAGATTAATGTTGGAAAAAGTGTGCTTGTCCCAGTGGGGGATGTTCCAGATATTTCCTCCTTAGCTGCTAACCTAGGGTGTGGAGTTGGTGCTTTTCCTCTTCCTTACTTAGGATTGCCTTTGGGAGTTTCTTCTACACGAGTTAGGAATTGGGATCCAGGATGGAAAAAGCAGTATCTATCTAAGGAGGGGAGAGTCACACTTATTAAGAGTACTCTCTCATCCCTTCCTACCTACTTTTTATCTTTGTTTCAAATTCCATCCTCAGTTGCTGAAAGGATTGAAAAAATTCAAAAGGATTTTCTTTGTGGTGGAAGGGGAGAGGAGTTTAAGTATCATCTTATTAATTGGGATCATGTCTGCCAACCGTTGAGGTTAGGCGGGTTAGGCGTTCGAAAAATCGTTCCTTTTAATCGTGCTCTCTTGGGAAAGCGGTTATGGAGATTTGGAAAGGAACACCATCGTCAGTGGAGAAGAGTTGTCTCGTGTTGTTTTGGTGAGGAGAGTGGGGCCTAGTCATCTCTTCCAGTCAATATTATGGGAGGCGTTGGTGTGTGGAAATTCATTCGGAAGGGCTAGGAAGTTTTCTCCACACACATTAGATTCAAAGTTCGTGATGGCAGACATGTCCGTTTTTGGGAGGACCTTTGGTGCAGAGATCAGTTGCTGTCTTACTCTTTTCCTAGACTTTACAGTATTGCAGCTAATAAGCATGTCTACGTGATTGATTGTTCAACTTGATAACAATGGAGTTACTTGGGATGTGCGGTTTAGGCGCCCCTTTCACGATTGGGAAAGGCAGAAGGATATTGGCAAAAGGGGTGATGATATTTTGTGGGTTCCTTTAGCTCATGGTAGGTATGGTGTTCGATCCATGTTCTTGTGTTTGTCCAATTTCGTTGGTCACGAGTTTCCTTGGAAGTCTGTTTGGCGTTCTAAAGCTCCTCTTCGAATCGCATTCTTCCTTTGGACTGCCACATTGGGAAAGATTTAGACATTGGAGAACTTGAGAAAGAGAGGCAACATCATTGTTAATTGGTGTTGTTTATGTAAAGCTGATAGTGAATCCGTGGATCATATTCTTTTGCATTGTTGGAGCTTTATTTTTTGCATGTTTGGCATTTTTTGGGTAATGCCTGAGCACTCCTCACAATTGATTAACGCTTGGAGAAGGTATCTTGTTAAAGAACAAGCTCGTGATTATTGGAGGATTGTTCCACATTGTGTCTGGTAGTGTTTGTAGTGTGTGAGAAATAACAGATCCTTTGAAGGAAAAGAATCGTCTTTAGCTAATTTAAAAATTCATATTCTTCGTTCTTTGTTCTGTTATGTAAGAGGAAATGCATGTTGTTCAATTGATGATTTCTTTGATCTCTTGGATTCTTTTGGTCCTTAGATCTTTTTTCTTCTTTTATTAGGGACGCGTTCCCCTTTTGAAGGTTTTTCTAATATATTTTTACTTATCAAAAAAAAAAAAAATGACTCATGTCCCTTATTAGTATATATTAATTATAAAAAATTAAAAAATATTAATTACTTGTACAAATAGAAAAGGAAAAAATTACTTGTACACGATTTAACTAGAAATAAGTATTTGTGATTTTTAGACTCCTATAGAGGATGAAAGTCTGGAGCATTATTTTTTATATTGAAATATTAATTTTATACATATATACATTTTCTATATGTATAAGTGTTACTTATGCCTCAATTGACACATATATTCATGTTAAATAGGGATTGAAAATAGGTTAGGTTCTGTGACAATTAATTTACATGAAATTATTGATCATTTATAAATTTTTATAATGTATTTTTAATTCCTACTAAAATTTATTTCATATGATATTATTTAATTTAATTCAAAAGATATAGATAAGGGACAAATGTTAGGTTAATTGACCATTTTCTTAGGATTCACCAGTTGACCACAAACTCCTATTTCTTTCAATTCTCTCGGACATATCTATATCTATAATTCTATATATAGTATATTATATCAATATTCTTATATAAATGTAAGTAGAATTTATATAATTTTTATTGTTATTGTAATAAATAAATTACTTGAACTTCTTTTTATAATTTGTCTTTGTATATTTTGAAATTGTCAAAATAAATGTTAATAATAGAGTTATATATATCTTAGATAGTATTATTATATACTTATATTGTATTACATTAACAATGATTTTTGTTCACATGCGTCTTTACTAGTAATTACTAAAGATGCAGATAACTTTTTTTTTGATAAGTACTAAAGATGCAGATAACTAACCATGAAGCAACAGATAAAATGAATTTTTTGCAACAGCTCGGAAAAGAAATGTAAAAACAAAGGACATTTGACCAAACAAGTCAAGGAAGTGCTCATATTCTTACAGGTAACAGACACAATCTCCATTAGAAGCCAAACTTTTAATTAAAAGTGGCCATTTGTTGTCAGAAATCGGTCAGGATAACAGAACAACTTAACTGCAGCATTTCCTGATGGATTATAGTCGAACGTGTTAGACACTATAGTTACGAGTATAACAACATTTAAGAGAGCTAATGAGAGGTCCACATCAAAAGCAGCAAAGATGAATAACTAACTCATAGTTATTTTGGGGCATCACTATTTCTCATGACTCAGAAGAATAATATCACTAGTATAACTGCAAGGCATCAAGGGAGAGATTTATAAGATTACACTTGGTGGATAAGTTGGACATAGACTACAGATGGAAATCATGGCCAAAGGCCGTTTAAACAAAGTAGGGAAATAAAATTGGGTATAATAAAACCAAAAAAGAGAAGAGAAACCAGCACCAAGTACGCTTTGCAACCACCAAATACAAGAAAATCCATGAACTCAACCGAATTCAAGCTACTAAGCTCAGATGCCAATTTTCAATTGAAATCGCCCAAATTAACCTTTTGTTCTTATTGGTCTTGACCCCATGTACTACAACTCCTCACTAAAAAGAGATAATGACAAATAATTTCTCACAGAGAAGGATCCTAAGGAATTTTTTTCAGCTGGACAACAAGAGAGCAGAAAAAAAAGCTTGTACATAAGGTCTAAACTAAATCTAACCAAAAAAAAAAACACATTGGATACAAGTATTGTAAATATCAAGAACAGTAAAGAAAAAAGAATAAAACACTTAACACTGAAAAGTAGTTTTAAAGTGGTTAACTACAACTCCAGAGAAAAAAATATGAGGATTTGTATACATATTGGTAAAAGAAATATACAATTAAAAAGACAACTAAAATCACCTTTTTATCTTGCAAGTCGTTCTCAAGATCCATTAACCTTGATTTTATGCGATTTGTTAGGTTCACAGCAACTTCATTGTCGAATGGTGTATTTGGAACAGACCCTAAATTGTGCCTTTTAAAAAGCTTTTGAATTGTTAAATCTCTTTCATTCTTCAGGGACATATGAGCCTGATTCCAAAGATAAATAAATCAATTAGTAACAAATGCCACACCAAGCAGGTGCATTGTGGAATATCAACTTGTGCATAAATTTGTAAATATTACTTCAGCCTCCGTTTGAAGCTTGCTGATCTCACGGATATAATCAGTAATTGTATTCTTAAGGATGGAACTGGTTGTCTCCGTGTCATTTTTTTCTCTCTGCAGCTTATTAATTTTAGATTCCGAAAGTGCAATTCTTTCTTCAAATTTGGTTTTCCATTCCTTCAATTCCTCATCAGTGTCTGCACAATACAAAAACAAATAAATAAACACAAGAAGTTCTTGCATCAATGCAGCATCTGCATGGTGCCCTATAGAAATAAAAATGCAGACTTGATAATGAGCACCAGCACAATAAAGAGAGACAAGTACGGAGAATATAACATATTAATTGAGACAATGGCCATCTTGCTTCTGTAATTCAATGACATACCTTCATTTTCCTCAGCAAGAGCTGCATACTGTTTCTGCTGCTCCTTGAACAAAGTGCTTCTTTCAGCAGACTTGGTAGATATCTGGTCCTGTAGTTTCCGCAAATCTTTTAGTGTTGCTTCAGTATGATGGATCCTAGAATCCACATTTTGAATGTTTTTTTCAAGTTCCTGCATTTGACTTTTTAATGTCTCTGTTTTCTCTTGATCTTGAGAGATGCTTTCCCGAAGCTGTATGAACAAACTCAAATAAATAAGAATGTGTCCTTGACATGTAATCACCTGAAGTCACAAGCAAAAAAATTTCTTGCATTTCCATCCATAATGAAAGAAAATCTCACTATCACAACCAAATTTTTATTCAGTGGAACCTAGCATAAAAAATCTCACTATTACGTGCCAGTTGCAGGAAAGAACAAATTGTAAGAAGGATTGCAACTGATATAAGTACATTGGCGAGACAGCTGTGTAGAGGAAACATAGGAGACTTCAGACTTCAAATTCTTTTACTTTCTTTTTTCTTCTTCTTTATCTTTTTCTCACTTTTTCCTTCCCCCCCCCCCCCCCCTGATTGGGTTGTGGAGGTAGCCGGAAGCATAGGAAACTGAACAATGAGATAACTCTAAGAAAAAAATTTAAATAACTTGTGGTTAAGAAAAGTACATATGAGCATGGAGGCAGTTGCAGTTAACATAGTTGTTGCGACTTAGTGATGGCGGGATAGTGGTAGCTATAAAAAAAGTAAAATTATTGTCTTCAAAAACAATAACTTTTCTCTAGATAAGACAAAAGCAGTAACTTTCAGAAGAATCATTTTGCTTTTACTTTTGCCCCTTTTCTTTTTTATCTTTTTTCTCTTCTTTTTTTTTTGCGTGCCAGGAGGGAAGCATCACTTTAGGAAAGCTAGAGTATAAAAGGACTTACTACTTCACCTAGTTGCTCATTCAATTTTTAAGTGGTAATAAAATTTGAGATTTTTTAAATATCTTTTTGAATTGAAGTGTTCTGCATTCAGTAAATTCAGTAATAAGTGAACACCTACTTATCAAAAAAAAAAATAAGTGAACACGTAAATTTTTACCCCATTTTAAGTGGCGCTTAAATTTTGAAGTGATATTCAAATTGCATTGTCAAACATTTTTATTGGATAAGCACTTAATTTGTTTAGAATTAAGTACTGAATTGGGTTATCAAACAATGGAGATGGTGGCAGTGAATTATTCTTTTGTATAAACTGAAGCGCCAATATCAGCAGAGGGGGAATCATGACAGAGGCATCAATAGTAGGGATATTTGCATAAAAACTAGGGTTGTGGTGGTGGCAGCTGTCATCATAGTGGTGACATTTTATACTTGTTTTGACTTATCAAAAAAAAAGACATTTTATACTTGTTTTGATGGAACATTTACTGGTGTAGCTGGTCAGAACTGAAGCACGCCATGGGTTCAATTTAAGACATGTTTGCACCAAAACTAGGTTTGGGGTGGTGGTGTGACATTTATACTTGTTTTAACAGAACATTTGGTGGTGCTCACGGTCAGCAACAGAAGCTCACCACAGGTTCAGTTTAAGCTTTCTTTGCTTCTGAGAAAATTCAATTTTTATTGGACATAAATGTACAGGTCATTGATATCACAAGCCACCCATCAACAAGTTCATGAAACCAGTCTGAAAAATAGTAAAGGCTAAAAGACGTGAGGATATGAAGGTTTGATATGAACTTAGTCTAGAATATAATGAAAAGGATGTAGCCCTTTGGGCTTTGTGTGCCGTGGATGTAGGCCGTAGTGGCCGAAACACATTATATTCTTGTGTCGTTCATGCTTAATTTCTCTCTTCAATCTTATATTTTTTGACACCTACTAAAAGAAATGTATAAAATAAAATAAAATATTTAAAATTAAAATATATATATATACCTTGTATGCAGCATCTTTCAAGATTTGAAGATTCTCCAACTTCAGCTTATACGTCTTTATCTCTTGAGCCTGATCCTTATGAAGTTTTTTAATAACCTCCAAGGCCTTTGTGTATCTAATTCAAAAAAAAATAAAAAATAAAAAATTAAGAAATAAATAGAATTGTTCAAAACAATGTATTTGAAGTCTCAACTTATAATAAATATCACATTCAAGAAAATGCAAGTACAGTGAGAACTGAATTGCAATTACCTGGTTTAACCAAATAGTATTATTATAAAAAGGTTCCAAAAGGATCTAAATGCAATAAATCATTTTGCTTGGGCATCAAGATATTAAGGTAATTAAGCTGTTACGACTACCTTCAAAGCTTACAATTACTTGAAGATAATAATTATCAAACCCCACCTCCAACCGTTTCAGCAAAATGTGGCCAAAGGGAAGGAACACATGGACTGACCCGATCGGAATGGCGAGATCACCCCAAGGAGAATTCGAGAAATTAAGTTATTAGGGCCTCTGAGTGACAACAAGTTACAGGTCCAAAAAAGGCCACTACTTAGTAATCATCCCACCATGTCGGGTGTTGGCTGAGGTATACGAGGTACAAACCTAACATTTGGCATGAGTAGCGCAAAATGGCTACCCTCGAACTCAAACAAGCATTTCACGCTCGACAGGTGAGCTTTTTACCATTACACAGAGCAGTGGCCCCTTTGATTATTAGTAACACATAGGCAACTAAAACAACTATAACCAGCCACTAACAAAAGAAAATACATGGAGCCAAATACAGACCAAAAATTATGAAATGTGGCCAAAGGGAAGGGAACACATGGACTGACCCCCTCTTTTTTAACATGCTATACTGCATCGTTATGCTAACATGGTATAATTGTCTACTACTAACCCAAGAAAGTGTGCGTGTGTCAACATAAGTACATGTGCTTCAAGACAACACTCAAGCTAACAAAATGCATTTCATTGCAGCTATGGGATCAACCAACCAAGGCATGCAAATATCGAGATTTTATTGGATGGCTAAACCACATCAACATGGTGAAGAGGTGCAACAACCACACGTAATAATTTCTACCCAGGTAGAAGTTATTGGCAGCCCTAATTATTACTCCCTCTGTCCCAAAAACATATGTCCACCTTTCCATTATCCCAATTGAAAAGTCAAGTACTACTTTTTGTAACATTACCAAATTAGCCATCTTACATTGAACTTATAAAAAGTAAACTATCACATCCTTGTGGACCCACCATGGATAATTTGGTAATTCATTCACTACCAATACCCAAAAAAAAATTAAATCATCCTCTTAAAAAGTTAGAATCCCAAAAAGGGACATTCTTTTTGGGACAGAGGGAGTAATTCACAAGCCATGTACATCTAGTACAAGGTGCTTAAAGAGGTTTTGGTGCGCAAATTTTACCAGATATTCCTGTTTACTAATGATAGAACCAAGACAACCAAATCAAAATCCTATGTATAATTTACTTCCATTTTTTTCCAACAAGAGAAATGGCCACCTAGTAAAACATTGAGGCAAAACCTTTAGCTACTGTATCACCTATTTCTAGAAAAAAAGAGTTCAACCTCTAACATAAAGGTATTAGCATGTTTTTTCTCAAAGCAATAGTGGAAGTTTTTGTGTCACATAAAGATATCAAACATTATAGCACCATTAAAATCATTATTTTGCGCTCTCTTTATTTTTGTGAAAATAAACTAATAAATGAGGCATACCAGATCAAGGAACTGATTTTAAAAACATAAAATAAAAATGAAAAACCTATTACAGGCTAGGTGAGTAACCTAAGTATAATCCATAAATATATATAGTACAACTAGGAAAATATATATATATATATATATATAGTAGGCATTTCCAGAGGAAACTTAAAGTGATTAGAGAAAAGAGAAAACGGATATTTAGATAAAGTATGTTGTTTCTGGAGTTTTTTTAATGTGGAAAATTGTTTTTCTAGGTTTCCTGGTAGAAATTTCCTAGGGTTTATATATATATATATATATATATATATATATATATATATATATTTGAGCAGTACAGGCGTGACTAAGCGCATCAAATAGTCTACATGATAAATGGATGCGATACTAAAATTCTCAGGAATATACCAAATGAACAAGTGCATGTTTCCAAATGAGATTAAAGAATACCTAGTTGCAGAGAAGATATCATCAAACTTTTTTTTCAATGTAGAAGGATCTTGCAAAGGCCAGTTAGCCTCATCTTGGTGTACAAATATAACATTTTCAAGGACCGCCTTTGAGACACCCATAAGAGCAGGGATCTCCCGATCCATGTCAGCACATCGGTAACTGAGGCAAACTTTCTGCAATTCCAAAACAATTGACAAAATTTCATGATCACAACATAAAATATCAGCAGAGGAAAATGCTATACTCACAATGATGCAAAGATATTCCAGAAAATTCCAAAATTATTACAAAGGGAAAAACACAATTCAAGAGCAAATTGAGTTATTTGGTTGGATTTTAATTTAGAACTTGCCTAAGAAATTGATTGTATTTAAGTTCCATTATGTTTTTTTTTTCTTTTTTTCTTTTTTGGGGTTAGGAGTTTATTGTAAGTTTCAGTTTTGGCCAGCAGAGTGAGCAGCCATGGCGCGCTTTTCATTGTAGACTTCAGGAAAAGTTCAGTGAGTCTACTAGGTTTTAGAAAAGGTCCAAGTCTTTAAGACTTCCTTGGCCACCACGTTTTCTTGGTCTCTTAGTTATAAGCCTCTATATAAAGATATGTATTTGATTTGTTCTGGAAGATGAATATGTATTGGCTCAGCCATCAACCATCACCTCTCCACCAACCATCACCTTTCCACCAACCTTTACAATTCAATTCTGTAGAGATGGATTTGCGGATGTTTGGGTATGCATAAATACCCAAACCCTGAGTTTATATTCACCAAGAAGCTTAAGTTGTTGAAGGTAGGTTTGAAGAGACAGTATAAGGAGGTGTTTGGCAACCTTGAGTTGAGGAAAGCTGGACTTCTTGGGGAGAGAAGGGAGTTGGACGTGAACAAGGGAGACGGTGTTTGACGCAAAGTTGGCAGCCAAAGAGGAAGAGAAGAGAGAGCTTGGCAAACTACCTTTGACAGATGAAACCAGTCGAAGACAAAAGTTCAATGCGCCTTCATTGAATAAGAGAGACAATAAACTAATTTTTTCACACACTAGCTAATGTGTATCAATCTAATCACAATGGTAGGATGGTCATTCATGGAAATGAATTGGGTAGAGAAGATGAGGCTAGGAATAGTAATATTCGACTGTGTTACAGTTTTATTCCTTGGAGTCTTGTGATAGGAGACCAAGGCTGGACAGTTGGAGTCCAAGGCTTTCAATAAGCAGACAAATAGTGATCAAGATGATTTATAGAAGCTGAAAAGTCATGTTGGTTATGAGGCTATATGGTGACTATTGAAAGATTAAAATATTAAAGTTACATCCTCTCAAATACCATAAGCTTTTAGAGTATATGGTTCTTAAAATGGTATCAGAGCAGGTAAGGTCATGAATTCAAACCTCACCATCACCCTAACAATTAAAATTGAAACACGTGTTGTATCAATCTAATCACAATGGTAGGATGGTCAAGATGGTTGTCAACAGTGACTATGGTCAGAGGGGATAATGCTTTCTTCCAACACTATTGAGTGTGTTTGGGAAGATGTGCTAAGGGTGATGTTGCACTTCCATGAGACCAAAAATTCAAGTGGTCTTAGTGCAGCTTCATCGTGTTGATATATAAAACAGGAGCAATAGATATTAAAAACTGTAGACCTACCAGCCTTATTGGGAGTGTGGACAATTTGATGGCTGAATTGTTGTCAACAAGATCGAAAAGGGTTTCGAATGGAGTTGTACAGTTGTATGTGAGTCACAAAATGCCATTTGGCATATAATGGATGCAATATTGACTGCAAAAGAATGTCAGAACTAGAATATTAGGGACCACAAGCCCTAAAGAGATTTATGTGCTAGAATAAGAAGGGCATATTCATTTGAATTAAACCTTTCAAGTGTATGCGAAGAATTGAATGGACTTTGGCTAATAATAGATAGATTGGATATGGGCGTCTGCTACTGTGAAAAAATATGCTAGAGGTGCTCAATTAGGTGAATTTGTGAATCAAGCAGGTTTTACATGAAGAAGATTTGGCTCAGCATGCTCTATTCGATACGGGTAGGAGAAGAACCCGACTCAGCATTCTTAATTAAATTTATTGTCTTGTTGAATACTTATTCATCGGAACTTTTTGGTTGCTCTAGGTGGCTTAGATAGGAGCACCCTAACCCCATTGATCCTTATCATTGTGATGAAAGCTTTTAGTAGACTAATGACTAGTATGATGAATGATGGCATGTTGTAATGTTATGAGGTAGGCACATTTGTGGACTTAAATACATGTGTCTTACTGATTATTTGTAGCAATCTTATTTTTGTATGCCAAGAAGGATCAATCCAATGCCTTCGTGATACTTTCATGTTTTGAGGCTAAATCAGGTTTGAAGGTAAATACAACAAAAGTGACAAGTAGGGGAGGAGGAGATGTCGCAGGTTTAGCAGCCAACTTATGGTGCGGTGTTCAGGGCCTACCACTTCATATTCAGACTTACTAAAATTAAGGCTACTTGAGATTTTTTCTAAAGAGGTTCAAGAGGAGGTTACAAAATGGAAGAAGAGGTACTTCTCCATAGGAGGAAGGCTAACACTCATCAAGAGTACCTTCTCCAGCCTCAACATATTCTCTGCCTCCCTTTACTATCCTACGGACTAGCAGACAGACTTGGGGAAGTTGCAAGGGATTTCCTTTCTGGAGGGTATAAAGTATGAAATCAAGTATTATTTAGTTCACTGAGACTCCATATGTCTTCCTCTCTGGGAAAAGGGTTTGGGCTTGTGTGAGCTTGGTTAGTTTAATAAAGGATGATGGTACTGACAACCAAAACCCGAAGCTCTGATAGAGAATCGCACACAGTGTAGGCGCTCTAGACCTGGAGGGGATGAATAGGTCTTGTGGAACAAATTAATTGTTTTAACTAATTTTTAAATTAAAACGGAAATAAAAAAAAAAAATTACAATTAACTAGCAGACAATTAAATCATGCAACCAACAGAATTTTAAAGCAATAAAGCAGTCTATAGTAGACACCAGATTTATCTAGAAAAAGAAAAACCCCAGGACCTAGTCCAATCCACTATCAAGAAAGAAGGTTTACAACATAGGTTAATAATTTAGTAACCCTCGAACCCCTAGTTATCTACTTGAGAGGTAACTAACACTAACTTTTGAACAATTTCTAAACTAAGTTAGAAACTAAAACAAAAGTACAAACTCATCTTTTGATAAAAACAAAAGTACAAACTCATAGTTTGATCTATGAAATTTGTCAACCTAAGTCCTATTGACCTAACAAAAAACATTATTGAGCAAATAGTTATGGGAACTTGAATTGTAAAGGGATAGCTTATGGAGGGTGACAGTTGGCAAGATGGGAGGATGGCTTAGGAACGAGTGGGAACAGTTTCTGAGAGCAATGGTTTGTGAAAAGAAATGGCGCAAGACATAGAGGATTCAATTACAGTGTGTAATTTAGGAATGCGGCCTTGAAGGTAGACTTTATGGACCTCTTTAGATTTAAAGTGGATAAGAATCTATGATGACTAATCAGATGGAGGCCATGGCTTCACTTTTTATTTACAAAGTCTACTATTGGAAGATATGAAAGCATCACTGATGTTGCAAAGAATTTCATCAAGAAAGTTGTACAGGGAAATACTGCTAAGTCTTGTTAAGAGAAATTTACGGTCAATAATTCTTAGTGACCATGTGAACAAAAAATAAAAATCTAAGTGATGAAGAAACATATACACTGAACTCACTTCTGCTGCTAGAGCAGAACTACTGAGCTTTTAAAAAGGTGAATTTTCTATAAAACGCACTTAAATCTGGCTTATGGAACATGAAAAATCGAGAGAATCTTGAATGTATATATATAAATCGATATTAGAAAAGACACAAGTTTCAGACTCTGTCACTAAAAAAGTTAATGACTATATGTTAATCCACTAAGTGAAGCTCCTGATCCACATGAAACTCAACCATGCTCTACAATCTCACCAGCCAGAAATGATTATTTTGGAACAGCAACGTATGTCGGAATCATTTCAAACTTTTGCCAATTCCTTTGGTAATTGTATACAAGCCCAGGACTTACAGATTTACTTACTAGCAACCACTGCAAACATCAGTCTATGTATTCGGAAATAATCAATGAAAAGCACAATATTAACATCCAATTTGATATCAAACTTCTAATAAAATCAAACGCACCAATTCACTGCGTTGTACCAATTACTTGTTGATGGTCAGTATAAATTACGGATATAGAATCAAGATATATACCTATAAATGTAGGTTATAATAAATAAATCTGCCATTTACATCTAATTGCACAGTTTTATCTGCAACTGCCCTAAACGGGAAAGTGGGCCAAACAATTACCATGAATTAAATGCTTCACAACCAAGTCCCCTGGTACACAAGATGATTCTTGATTCTATAAGCTACATGAAGCATGTAATGAAAACAAAAGATCAACAAAGTATAGTAACATGCTCATATTACAACCAATGAAATACACACAAGACACACACTAAAGCAATAATACCTCTCCAGTGTGAGGATTAATTGTCTGAAGAACACTCTCGATTGCCTTATACTCCATCTTCGATGCTTTCTGGGTCAGCTGAAATGACCTGATACACACCACATCCTTACTTGCCGCGGTCTTGAATCGGAGTTTTATCTGCCCTTTTGTCTCCGTTTCCCCTGCAACCTACACCCACAAAAACCCACCTCCTTTACAACAAATTACATACATGCAATAAATTCATATACATATATATATATGTATTGAGAGAGATAGAGTGAATGTACGGACCTTGGGATCATGAACGAAACTGTGGCCTGACCTAGCATTTGGAGGTAACTCCCCAGTGCAGGCGACCTTCAAGCACTCGATTATGGTCTGAAAATCAAAACGATTGTATCAGTTTATGAGGAGGGTTTTGCGACAATCATACTAGAGAGAGAGAATTGAAGAAATTGAGCATACCGTTTTGCCAGCGCCATTGGGGCCAACGATTAGGGTTAAGGGCTTGAAGAATGTGATGACGTTCTTGTTTTCCGGGTCGAAACTCCGGATGCCCTTTATCAGCATCTTATCGACTGTGCTCATCTTGTCTGATTTTATGGAGATTAAATTCAATAGTTTCTTTGATTGGATTGCATATATACATGCATATGAACTATGAAGGCTCCATAGTTCATACAGTTTACATGAGAAATGTATGGACCCAGGGAACTAGGGAAGAAGAGGGAAGGGTTTTAGGAGCCGGGACTTTCAGATGAGTGAGGAGGGTGTAAGGGGGAAAAAGGCGCGTATAAGTGGGTTTGTTATTGTTTTTGGGTTATTTTCACTAATTTCTTCTCTCTTTTTTTCTTTTCTTTTTAAAATACATATAATAATATCTTAATTAATTTATATGCATTTTTTTTTTTTACATCTATAAATAGCATACTTTTTTTTTTTTTTTTTTTCGCTAACAAGGCGAGATTGGAATATGGATTTTTTCAAACTTGCAACACTTTTTTACCTTGCTTTCAAATTTTTGCTTTCAAAAATATTATAGCAAATTTGTGTTATCAAATAAGTTTTATAATACTATTTATACGTAATTTAAAGCAAAAACAGTATTTTTACTTCAAGTCAAAGCAAAAACGGTTATCAAACTGGCCAACAGTAAGTAATAAATAGTAGTATAATTTTGCATGACTTTCCATTTAGAATAAAAGAATAAATCATGCTTCCATATAATATCCTAATTAAATTATATTTCTTTTCTTTTCTTTTCTTTTCTTTTTTTTCCCTTTTTTTTTTTTTTTGTACATTTCTTAAAAATTGTTATCTGTAATGCTTCCATGTCATGATCAATAATAAATCAAGCAAAAATAGATTTACAGTAGTTAATATATTATATACTGTGTAGAAAATATATTAGGCGGTAACTTGGTAATAAATTGTATAAAATACTGTACACACTCCACGGCTAAATTAATTTTAAAATTTTTTAATAACAATAATTGACTTTTCTGTTTCTAATTTTACAATATTGCACTTTAATAGTGTGTTTTGCTAATTCGAAGTGAAGGATGACATAAAATCGGTCTATTTCTGGCCTCATATCCATAGTTAGTACATTCATCATAGTTAGCGACTCTAGCTCCGTATCAAGGTCATGATCAATATCATCAATATCGTTACCAACATCAATATCGTCACTATCCTCAATATTGATATCATCAATAAGAAAACCTTTAGCTTTGTTATCCAGGAACTTATTCAGAGATACTGTAATGAAAGGAACATAAGAGATTGTCGCTAGGGATTTGACCAAATAGGATCGTCCAGTTCCTATAGAACTTATCACTAAAATAGCCCTAGAGGGGGATAAGGCTAAGCGGAGTGAAAAGGGTTTCCATGAGACGGGAAATGAAAACTATTAGCCCCATACGAGGTTTATGAATAAGTGATTGTCTGATAATGAGCACTGAATATCCGTCTTTCAGCTCATAAACCAACAAACATGTGCACTAAACAAAAAATCGTCTAAAGAAAAACATTTCCTAAATTCAGAACCTCTAATCAGTTCTACTTTCAAAAAGCTTTTAGTTTCTTCAAAAGCTTTAGTGAACTAAAATCTCTACAATTAAAAAGCTTTATTTTATTTTTATTACCAAAATATAGTTAAAAATAAAATAAAATAAAAACGATTTTAAATGGCTCATAGCAATTCCAGACAGAACCACGACTCTGGTTAAGCCCTACTGCCCTAATATTAGGGGTACCGGGCCCAAGAATGGGCCTGACTTCTGTTCTCAGATTTGGGTTAGCCAATCCATTAAGACAGGCCACTCCAGTCCGATATACACCCCCATTCCACTGGAATGACCCAATGATCTTAATCCACTTAGGTCTGGGCCATGTGGTTTTCATGTGGACAATTTGGCTAGGGCAATTGTCCACACGAAGACCACACGTCCCAGTGGAATGGGGCTGTATATCGGACTGGACTGGCTTCTTAATCGGATGGGCTAACCCAAATCTGAGAACAGAAGTAAGGCCCGTTCTCGAGCATAGGTCTGTGGACAATTTGAGCATAGGTCCGGGCCGTGTGGTCTTCTTGTGGACAATTTGAGCATAGGTCTGGGCCGTGTGGTCTTCATGTGAACAAATAAGGAATATTATAAATTTAAAGACTAAACTACCTAAAATACCTTTAAGACAAAATATAAAAAAAAAAATACTAATTTCATAAAACACTAATTATTAACTGTATTTTGGATTTTTAATTAAAAAAATTGGTCAAAATTAATTATCAATGGGCAATTTGTACACATTTTTAATGTTAGGAATTTATATGCACATATTAAATAGCAAAATTGTTTTTTTTTCATATTTTTTATATGGCAATTTTTTTTTCCTTTCCGCTTTACACTATTTTTGAAAATTTAAAAGACACATTAGCAATTAGCATGCACTTCACTTGACTCGTCCACCATTGTCCAAGAACCCTAGCCTATCCATTCACACACAAATGTACATAGGAAAATATTTTTTAAAGCCGACTAATTAATAGGTAAAAGAAATACTCAATACATATTAATTAATGAGATTGTATCCGGGACCAATACACGTGTATATTATACGCACCCATGTATATCTCTCTCTCTCTCTATATATATATGCATGCATGTACATGTCTTCAAAAACAAAAAAACAACGTGGAGAGGGGTCGAACAATTAAAGAGAAATCAAACGAATTCTGGACCACCTAAATTGCATGGCAATACTTTATGACAAACTCTCTAATTTTTATTTGTATTTCTATATGAAAATACCATTTTTTGACATTACATAATCATGTGCAACTTGGTACCTCACAGATGCTTTACAACCTACTATATTTTGTTTCATACTCTCCTATTTATATATATAAATTTTATATTTTACACATACATATATAATTTTCATACTTAATCAATGGGTCATTTATTAATCCAATGTTATAGTCATTCTTTCTCGACAAATATTAGATAGTCTTAAATTATTGACACTTTATAAATTAGTTCACTTCGGATTTTCGAATTGAGAAATTTGAGCTTCGTAACCTAAGTCACATAATTCTTCTTAAAAAATATCGTCTTCACGCTTTGAACGCGCTTCGACTCTCATGCTTTTCGCACGTTCTCGCTTCTGTTCTCATTCCGTATGACTTAAATTCTATCGTTTTCGTATGAATTCACTTTTGCTCTTACTCCCGTTTTATATAATTTTGCTCGTAACAAGAATGTGAGACATTCGAGTTTTGTAACGAGTTGTGTGTGAGTAATCATTTGTTTTTTTAATTTAAAAAAAAATAAATAAAAAAACTTATCATCATCGTTGTTGCATAGTCTTTGAAGGAGTTCACACCATGAAAACATGTGCCTTTTGTTTGCCTAAAACCCCATGCCTTTTATCCTAGGTTCATGCTCCTTCACCATCTGAATGTTATGGAATGATGCAGCTGATGAGCCACTCCATGTGCGTGGGCCAACCCTAACTCTAAGAAGTCTAATTCAATACTCTCACTCTCTCTCACACAGTCACACACACACACAAGAAGTGGAATTGAGTGGCTCATTTCAAGAAATATCTAGAGTAAAATAATCCATATGCTGTGTATTCTAGTGGAATAATACCACCCATTGACAAACCTGTGGTGGTTGATTGATTAAACACATTGAAATGAGCCATCGGACCAAACTAAATATTGAAATTAAACGCAACCCAAAGATTAAACACATTGACTGAAGTTGGTTTTAATTCATCTTGATAGTGAGTGATTAGTGACCTAAGTCAACGAAAAATTCCAAACTATGCTGACAAGACATGCATAGAAAAAAATTTGTTATTTAAAGTCGGTCAAGTGATTTTGAATAAACACTCGTACATGATATTTTTCTGACCAATCACAAGAGAGAGTGTCTATTTGCAATAGATAACAAACCCACAACGAAAAAAAAAAATAATTAGAGATTTGATTATTATAGTTTGACTCGAAGAAAAGCAAAACAATCAAGCAATGATTGAGCTTACATTTGAAAATATGATATTAATATATGAAAGTATAATAGTACAATATAGTACATAGGCTTAGACCATATGTACAACTTTATTGAACCTTGACTTCAGGTTGAGCTCAGTGTAGCCCTAGCTAGGCCCAGAATCCAGATAAGACTGAGATATTTAACCAAGCTAAGTTCAATTACACTTCCTGGGCTATTGCCTACCGGGCTTACTTAAGCTCATTTTTTAGGCCTCAATGTGATATTAGCCCACTAGGTTGTGAGAATTTTGCAGCCTGTTTAATGATGGGCTTAAAGACAAAGCCCGTTTAGGAGAAGATGGGCCAAACCAAATTGAAAGTTTGGACTTCATGAAGAAGGGTTTTTATTTTATTTTTATTTTATTTTATGAGTAACGATATATTAATGGGATGATTTTTGCTTGTGATTCCAATAAATAGTGTCTAACAAAGATTCTTTTCGGTATTAGATAAAAGTAGAATTTTCTCTTTTTATATTCATTAGACACATCAATGGATAGTAACAACTGACATTTTTATTATTTTTCTTATTTTCATTCATTACATACTTTTTGCAATAATTTTTGTTTGTGATTCCAATAAATAGTGTCTAACAAAGATTCTCATCCGTATTAGATAAAAGTAGAATTTTCTCTTTTTATATCGACTAGACATCAATGGATAATAACAACTGACACTTTTATTATATTTCTTATTTTCATTCATTACATATTTTTTGCGACTATTTTTCGTACCACATTTGATAGAAACAGATCATTTGTATTAAATAAAGTTCCAATTGAAAATGTTTCTTGGGATGGGTTAATTTTTGTTTGTGATTCCAATAAATAGTGTCTAACAAAGATTCTCGTCCGTAGTAAATAAAAGTATATCAATGGATAATAATAACGGACACTTTATTATTTTTCTTATTTTCATTCATTACATATTTTTTGCGATTATTTTTCGTACCACAGTTGATAGAAACAGATCATTTGTATTAAATAAAGTTCCAATTGAAAATGTTTCTTGCTTCCATTTCTTGATATTGATATTGAGATAATACCACTAGCCTAATCCAAACATAATTGGTGGTCTCTTATTCTTCGATAAAATAATTGTTGACCTCTTATTTTCTACAAAGTCTCGGTTGAGTTCACACAATAGGAAACACACACAAAGAGAGAGAGAGAGAGACAACAAGCCAACAAGGCACATGGTGAGCCCATATATTAAAGTTTGATTTGATTGAACATAATATGGATTATTAATTTAATATTAAATTGAAATGAAATCTTATGCATAAAGACGATTTTA